CTAAAAAAAAAATAAGGTTAATTCCTTGCATCGGAATTTTTTTCAAAAACATCTGATTTTGCCCAATTTTGCTAATATATGCAAGGTTCACCCCTTACAATTTGAGATTTTTCATAAAAATCTCATTTTGCCCAATTTTGCTTATAATGCAAGGTTAACCCCTAACAATTTTTCATGCACATTAAAATTTGCCCAATTTTACTACAAAAGCAAGATTAACCCCTTACAATTTGAAATGTTTCAATCACATCTTATTCTGCCAAATATCACTAAAAAAGCAAGGTTAACCCCTTACAATCAGAAATTTTCCAGAAAGATCTGATTTTGCCCAATTTTGCTTAAAATACGAGGTTCACCCCTTACCATTTGAGATTTTACATAAACATCTTACTTTGCCAAATTTCACTAAAAAAGCAAGGATAATCCCTTTATCTGAAATTTTCCAGAAACATCTGATTTCGCCCAATTTTGCTTAAATGAAAGGTTAACCCCTTACAATTTGACATTTTCCATAAACATCTGATTTTGCCCTATTTTGCTAAAAAAAAAATGCAATCTCAACCCCTTACAATCTGAAAAAAGTAAGGTTAATTCCTTACATCGGAATTTTTTTCAAAAACATCTGATTTTGCCCAATTTTGCTTGTATATGCAAGGTTCACCCCTTACAATTTGAGATTTATCATAAAACTCTCATTTTGCCCAATTCTGCTTCAAATGCAAGGTTAACCCCTTTCAATCTGCAATTTTCCAGAAACATCTGATTTTGCCCTAATTTGGCAAAGAGTAACCCCTTACAATTTTTAATTTTTCATACAAATCTGATTTTTCCCAATTTTGCTTAAAATGCAGGGTGAACCCGTTACAATCTGAACTTTTTCATGAACACCTGGTTTTGCCGTATTTTGCTGAAAAATGCAAGGTTAACCCCTTACAATTTGAAATTTTTCATGCACATTAAAATTTGCCCAATTTTACTAAAAATGCAAGGTTAACCCCCTTACATCTGAAATTTTTCAGAAACATCTGATTTTGCCCAATTTTGCTAAATATGCAACGTTCACCCCTTACAATTTGAGATTTTTCATAAAAATCTGATATTGCCCAGTTTTGCTTAAAATGCAAGGTTAACCCCTTTCAATCTGCAATTTTCCAGAAACATCTGATTTTGCCCTAATTGGGCAAAGGTTAACCTCTTACAATTTCTGATTTTTCATACAAATCTGATTTTTCCCAATTTTGCTAAAAATTACAATCTAACATTTTTCATAAACACCTGATTTTGCCTTATTTTGCTAAAAAATGCAAGGTTCACCCCTTACAATTTGAGATTTTTCATAAACATTTAAATTTGCCCAATTTTACTACAAAAGCAAGGTTAACCCCTTATTATTTGAAATTTTTCATTCACATCTTATTTTGCCAAAAATCACTAAAAAAGCAAGGTTAACCCCTTACAATCTGAAATTGTCCAGAAACATCTGATTTTGCCCAATTTCGCTAAAAATACAAGGTTCACCCCTTACAATTTGAGATTTTCCATATAAATCTGATATTGCCCAGTTATGCTAAAAATGCCGAGTTACCCCTTACAATCTTCAATTTTCAAGAAACATCTGTTTTTTCCCTATTTTGCTTAAAAAAGCAAGGTTAACCCCTTTGAATCTGCAACTTTCCAGAAACATCTGATTTTCCCTAATTTGGCAAGGTTAACCTTTTACAATTTTTGATTTTTCATAGAAATCTGATTTTGCCCAATGTTGCTAAAAATGCAAAGTTAACCCTTTACAAGCTGAAATTTTCCATAAACACCTGATTTTGCCAAATTTTACTACAAAAGCAAGGTTAACCCCTTACAATCTGAAATTTTGCAGAAAGAAATGATTTTGCCCAATTTCGAAAAAAAATGCAAGGTTCACCCCTTACTATATGAAATGTTTCATAAACATTTCAATTTTACTAAAAATGCAAGGTTAACCTCTTACAAGCTGCAATTTTCCAGAAACATCTGATTTTTCCCAATTTTGCTAAGATGTAAGGCTAACTCCTTACAAAACTGTTAAATCAATACATGAAGTGTCCCATTTGACTTTTTTAAAACAAATTATTTTTCCAGTTTTTAGGGTAAAGGAATTTTCTCTTTGTCCTTTCTCTTTTGTTGTTGCTATATTTTGCGAATTAACTCATTCGTATGGAATGCTCATAGTCAATCAAAGAATATTTCACACATAGGGGCCTTAATTATATATTTTTTAATTTAATAGAGACGCATTGATCGTGCTATCATATACCATTCTAATACCATTGCGAATTACTGTATTGTTTGGAATGCTCACAATTAAAGACACGTTATTTGAAAGATGTATGAATAATATTTATATTACAATGTACATCTTTATTCTTTCCCGGTATATAGTCAATTATGAAATATTCATTGATTTATGACATACACCTTTGTTTCAATTTTGATACTACCCGTAGACCTGCCGAGCAGCTGTAGATATCAAACTAAACCAAAGTATAAAAGATAGAGCTGGGTAAAAAAAATAAAAAAGTTATATGCTAGTCAAGCTTTCAGGGATCGGTCTGAGCCATAACAATGCCCCAGCCGATCCCTTAGTTCTCTTCCGGGGTCTCGGCGTCCCCGACCAATACACACTTCCTTCCCTATCCATCCATATAACCCCGGAGGGCCAGGCACCATGTAAAAGCAAAGAGCTAAGGGAGGAACAGGGCGGCCCCTAAGCCCTGATCCTCCGAGTGGACCACATGCCCTGAACCTGTACGAAGGCGCCAACCTGGAACTCGCGGACAGTACCAGCAGCAGTGCTTACCGGTTAAGCTAAGGTACTGTTGGTGCTTTACGACGGGGAATTAAATCTCTTATAGTAAATAATTGAACTCATACGTTAAAAACCAAAAAGACACCAGCGGGATTCGAACCCGGGACCCCGCTAATCGTGGACGACGAATCGTAACCACTCGGCCATTTCGTTACCTTAGAATGTTCCTTAAACTGAGAAAAGTTGTCTTTATAGGTGAGCAAACGCGCCAGGAAGATTACTGGGTCCATTTGCTTTACCTCAATGGGTAAAAACAAGTCGATATAATGAGCCCAGTGTGTTTGGTTTGTTAGGAATCTGCTTAACACAGCCTAATGTGCAAAACAGTCGTGTGCTAGGCGGATCATTACGCAACAATGAACACCGCAATTGTGTATTTTCAAAAGGCAGACGCGTACTAGATTTCTACTCTTTGTATTCGGGCACATATAGATTCTCACCTCCCTCTTCAGCTATTTCGACTTTCTTAAAAAGAAAAATAGAGACTGTCAGCGAATCTCCGGGAGTTGAATAAGGATCGTCCCCTCGATAGACCTCAGACTCAGTAAAGTTCAACATTGGGCTCTTTTTCAACAGCTGTTTTTGCGGAAACTTGGATTTTTTACAAGCATCTGATTTTGCCCAATTTTAGTAAAATATTCTCCAAATTTTGCTAAAAAAGCAAGGTTAACCCCTTACCATTTTAGATTTTTCATACAAATCTGATTTTGCCAAATTTTACTTAATATACAAGGTACACCTCTTACAATTTAAAATTGTTCATAAACATTTCTTTTTGCCCAATTTTGCTAGAAATACAAGGTTAGGCCCTAACAATCTGCAATTTTCCAGAATCATCTGATTGTGTCATATTTTGCTTTAAAAAAATGCAAGGTTAACCCCTTACAATTGAATTTTTTTCATGAACATCTAATTTTCCCCAATCTTATTCAAAAAGCAAGGTTAACCCCTTACAATCTGCAATTTTCCAGAAACATTTGATTTTTTCCCTTTTTCGCTTTAAAAAAAATGCGAGGTTAACCCCCTTCAATTTGAAATTTCTCGTAACATCTAACTTTGCAAAATTTCACTAAAAAAGCAAGGTAATAATCCCTTACATCTGAAAATTTTCGGAAACATCTGATTCTGCCCAATTTCGCTAAAATATGCAATGGTGTTCACCCCTTAACGTACAATCTGAAAGGTTTCATAAACATCTAACCCCATACAATCTACAATTTTCCAGAAACATCTGATTTTTCCCGATTTTGATAACAAAAAATGCAAGGTTAACCCCTTACATTTGATTTCTTTTCATCTAATTTTGCCCAATTTTACATCTGGAATTTTTCAAACAAATTATCAGGTAACTGGATCATTAAACGGGACAGGTGCACATCGGCCTTGGAGCTCAGACCATGTGTCATGCACTCCTCAATGCATAGATGATCCACATAACACTATGGGTAGTACAGGCACAGCCGGGGGTACTGCCCAAACAATGATGAACGCATTGCGTATGCTTAAAGAATTACCCACAATTCCGGTTTTTACCGCTTAGGTCTGGCTCTAATCACTTTACGCGATCCCCTGACGTCTCAACCACTGACTTTAGGCAAAATAGTCAGACTTTGGCGGTCTAGTAACCAGACTTTGACTCTTAAAGAAACATCGAATGAAAAGGGAAATATCAAATGCATATTGCAAAAGATCGAATGCAAACATACCGATGAAACAACGAATACAAATAGCTCGAAATGTCAAACATATGTGTGAAACATTGCTCACATAATATCGCAAATATATTGTAAAACAACACACACAATTGTATCGAAAAACATCGCACATTTAATGCAAAAAATCGAACATAATATTGAAAACATCGCACATATATATCGTCAAAAACATCGCACATATACATTGAAAATCGCATATAAATGTAAAACATCGCACAAATATATTAAACATCGCGCAAATAATGAAAAACATCGCACTTATATTGAACATCGCACATAAATGTAAAAGATAAACACATATTGAACATCTAACATATACATGTATATTGCAAAATATTGAATATTGCAACGTTTGACATGCCATATTTGAAGCATTCAATATTTGTATAATATTTACTGGTCTGCACCTCCAGGCTAAACCACTTCGGCCCCCTGAGGGCGCTATTCTCGACTTTCTAGGCCAGTCGAATACGCGTACGTACGAATTCTACCTCCATGGTACGAAGTAAAAGTGCTGGTTTCTTCTTCCAGTGTGTATATTCCTAAATGGTGGGGTATAGTCGTATACAAGTAACTTAATACACTGTATTCCTTAATATGACCTAAAAAGTACCAAAAGTTGTAAATCTGATGAAGAAACACTATCATGACTATTTGTAAAGTTGTAGGCATAGCCATAGGCGCCTAGGCCCCTATGGAATTCTTTCCGTACGGTATAGGATTAGGAGGAGCATGGGAGGAGCTAGGAGAATGAGTCAGGTTACTAAGTTTAATGACAATCATGACAATGACATACTCACATAGGTGACACATGGGTGACATTGGCATCCATGGCTGGGGGAGGGGGGGGGGGCTAGAAATACACTTCAAATCATGAGTGCCTGCGCCTGTACACACTGGCAATCGTGGACTAGGGACAGAAGGGTTAGGGCACAAACAAAGGGTCCACGATTGACCGAACGACCACGATTCGGCCAATGAGAGCTGTTGCTAGTACAAACAAAGGGATGAGGATTAGGGACAATAGAGAGTCCACGATTGCCAGTGTTTACACTGGGGGGGGGGGGGGGGTGCACCATTGCGTGTTTATCATTATCAGATTATATTTGAAACATTAGTTACAAGGTTATGTTAATTGTTAGTATGCAAGCCATGTACATGTTGGATTGTTTTCAGAGTATATTCTGAAAACAAAATTCACGTTTTCATTCATGGTTTGCATATACATGTACATTTCTTTCACTTTGTCATTTTTTGTTTGTTTGCAGGTTGCAGTAAATGATTCTCCACTAAAACTGATAAGCCATCATGTGAATAATCAGTGTTAATCAACAACAGTGTTAATGTTCTTCATAATAATGCTGCTGCCAACATCAAACGGTCTTGGGATGTTTTCTTCACTGCTCATCCGACAAAGAATTTCCAAGTTCCTTGTTACGACAAGAGTCTTGTCAAGTACAAGCCCACTGAAGTCTTTCCAGCATCTGAAACCAAAGCAGCTGACAGCCCTTTCCCCTCATGGGAGACAGGGAACAACTCAAGGGACCAGATCTGTGCTTTACAAGAAATCTGCTGTCGGGAAGCAATTTGGACCTAATTTGACAAGACAAACAAATCTCAGTACTGCTAGTAACCACATATCAGGTGTCAACAATGCAAGAACAGACCTCCTGTCTGTTACTGTTAGACAACACATCACAAGGCAATTCCACACAAGCTCAAGCATCTTGACTGACCAAAGCGATTCGAATGAAAACCGCGATGTTGCGACAAAGACTACTCTGGGGAAAATCCCCGATTCGGAGAGGCTGCAGCTTGTCTTCACTTGCAAGGTGTGCGACAGGAGGTCCACGAAGAGCATCTCCAGGCTAGGGTACGAGAAGGGCGTGGTCATCGTGAAATGTCCAGGATGCGACAAGAACCACCTGATTGCTGATAACCTGGGATGGTTTGCTGAGGCCGGGGGGAGGTACAATTGCCAATTTCTTTATCGCCTCTACATGTATGTCTGGATCAGCACACCTACATTGTAGTCATGGTCCAATTTGGCCACGGTCAAGCCAAAATGACCATAAGGGGTCACTATCAAGAAGACGAATCAAATCCAGGCTAAGCTTGGGAACTTTCAGACTTGCACCTAGGAAATTCCAAGCACAGTCCTTATGATTTGAAAATCACAGGCGTGTGGAAAAAGGCACACCTGGATTTTTCTAGGCGTGTGTTTTTTCTAGGCGTGTGATATTTTTAGGCGTGTGAATTTTCTAGGCGTGTGAATTTTCTAGGCGTAAGATTCTGTGGCCCAAACTGGTACTGAACAATCTGGTATATTTGTTTTATAATATTCATCTTTGTTCACAGTAAAGCAACTCAAGAGCTCACAGATGTATAATTATGCTGTAGAAATATGCCGAGGACAGGTGTGCGGTACAGAGGGATTCAGGCGTGCGATTATTCGCACTTCTCAGGAAGCTTTAAGGCGTGCGATGGCGTGGGGGTGTGATCTCGTGCCTCAAATCAGGACTGACTGCTAGCATACCCAACGCTCGCTAAATTAAAACTAATGTATGCACTTGAGGTTTGCTGGGAATTGTATGGGTCCGAGTGCCAAAAGCACAAGAGTTCATTTGATTAGTCTTGTTGATGACGACTCTATTGCTGCAATGGCTTGACCGCTTGACTTTCGCCCTCAGACCCAGGAATTACCGAGCCTACCTCATAGCTGCCAACTGTTACTAATTTTTCGTAATTATTACGAATTGTTTGTTAAATTACGAAAATACGATTTGCCACTAAAACATTACGAATTTCCCATTTTCTACCTAATGAAAAAAAAAAACTTGTAAAGTATCGTTTTTGACCGAAAACTTCTGGCGAAATGTCGCGATAATGGATGGACTGGTGACAAGTCTAATAAGAATGCAGTCAAGCACCTGATAGACATCAATGCAGTGTGCGCAGTGGAGTACTTGAGGACCAGACTAAAACTATTTTTCAATGGTGTGTCATTTGTGTGCATCTCGTGGATGTGTGGTTGTGTGTACTGTATGTGAGTACAATAAAAAAATTATTATTTTTTTTTTTTAAATTATCTTTTGGCCTACATTACATTATTATTCACAAGAAGAAGGGTATGCACATGTATGTGTACATGTAAACCATGTACCTGTACTCGATGTTGGTAAAGCTTTTGATAAAACGAGCAGTTGAAAATGACCGCGCGGGTTGATTACTAATTGGGATTTTGAAATGTTGGCAGCTATGCTACCTTGTGTGCCCGTTTTGAATATCACATGAGGCATGGTTGGAATTTCCCGATCTCGAGTCTGAGTGCCAAAGTTCCTTAGACTGGATTCGATTTAAGTGGGTGCCACATGGCATGCTACAGCTTTGTGGCTTGGCCTGGCTTGATCTGGCCTGCCAGGGAGTTGCTGCATTAGGGGAACACAATCCAAAGTTGCACCACGACTAGATCAGGATCACACTGCAACCCAAAATGCAGAAAAATGTGCAAAAACTCAATCAATCTGACTTTATAGCCACACTTCATCCAGCAAAATACCTCAGAACTTCCACGATGTGAAGAATAAAGACGAGGTCCTTGACCAGAATACCTGGTTTTGAGGTCAGACTTCAAATTGCAGAGATTTTTTGTTAGAGCCAAGGACTAGATTACGGCTTGGCGAGTAACTCGATTACTCAAGTACTCATGAACTGTTTGTGTTCGTTCTACTCATGGTTTTTCATCTACTCGAGTGCTTGTCCTGGTGCGATTGAGTAGAAGCAGGTACTCGCGTGTAGCAATTTAGGGTTCACAGCTCAATACGTGCCCTGCAAACGGGGAATCACTCCCTCCACCTCTCTCTCCCTAGGATGTTCCGGAGTAATTGCAGAATACCCCGCCACTCGGAAATACACCCCTAAAATCTCTGGCTACGCGGTTGGAATTGCTGGAAAAGAAACAATTCAAGTCCATTGCCAGCTACGCAGACAAGTAGCGCTGAGAAGGTTTATTGAGAGCAATCAACCGTGACTCCGTAGCCGGCTACGAGGTGCATAGATTGAGTGGCGGGGTATTCTGCAATTGTGCCGATATTCCATTCCAAGATATAAAAATTCAAGTAAATGACTCGAAACGTCGCACAGTAAGGATATGTCAGTGCTGAAGAATGTGGTGCGACTTGCACGCTATTTGCTTGTACATGTAGTTACTTTCTGTCATACTCCCCCATTCCCCCCATCCTTCCCCCATCCTCAGTTACACCACAGCTCTTGATAACACCATCAGAGATGAGTGTGGAGGAAACTTCCCCTTTTATTTGACAGTTCAATCTTTGTGGAAATGTGTTTTGTTTTAAAAAAAACCCAAAAACTCAGGTACATGTACATGTAATTTGATCTTTTTATCATCTTTTCTTTACAGGAATATTGAAGAGATTCTTGCAGCTAAGGGGGAGACAGTCAAGCGGACCATCGATGAAGGAGATGTCTTGGAATTAACACAACTGGAATGCGATAAAAAATTATAGGACTTGTATAGCAAATCATGGGCACAGTTTAAGTCTCAATCTCCCCCACCAAAACTTGTTGGTACAGTGAGGAATATGAAGTTCAAGAATTTGTTGCAAGCGGGTTTAAATATCATTCTGTAGCTTAACGATACAAACTTTCTTTTGGGGGTGGGGATGCAAGATATATTTTTGTTAGCCAACAGCAAGAGACAAATCACAAGTCAGTCATAAGGTAACTGATAACAGGATGAACTAGACGAAACAATTCCCTTTTTCAACAGTTCATTTGAATAGCGTGTATGTGTAACTTGTCTCGAGACTGAATTGTGTGTACTTGTTGTAGTTGATTTGTGAGGACTTGCCCATAACACTGGCAAAACAAATGTGACGTGTTCTGGCAAAATGAACTGGGCACAGGCCATAGTGGAGAAAATGGAAAAAAAACCCCCAAAAACCACAAAAATTGGGGCGTTTTTCTTTCTTTCGATTTTCAGTTTCGCTAATATTTGCAATCTTTGATACGTCTACCACAAATAATTTATGAAATAGTACAAAGAAAACAAATTGATATTTTCGTTTTCAAAACTTGAAACTTTTAAGGCCTTTTTCTCAGTACTTTGTACAAATGTATTTTACTTTTTTGACAAGTTGATAAAATGCGAATGTTAAACAGCCATAACTTGAACAACAAACAGCAACAAGCAGTATTGTAAGGAGAATTTTATTTGTTTTCCTAATACCCACAAACCCTCATTTCGACCTCTACCCAGTTCTGTTTCATTTTGCCAGACCTCACAACTGTCATGGTGAATTACATGTGGTTGCTTATTGAATACTTCAATAATTGTTTCAACAAAAATAAAAATCAAGGAACATGTTCTTTTCTTGATCATATATTTGTACAGTGCATTCTTCCCACAAAATTGTTTGGTAACTGATTGCTCAATGTTACTGCAAAGCTCAAATAAATTATTTTTCTGAACAGTATAGACAATTTTAAAGACTTCTGCTGAAAAACACTCATAAAAATTGTATGATGTACCTGTTATTTATTTCATTTAATACAAAGTTGGGTCTTTAAGGTCTTTGGATTAGTACATTTGTACATGTGTACAACATGTACAGTCGAGTCTCGTTAATACAAACTCTGTTAATACAAAATTCTGGTTATAACAAACATAAAGCCTTTGTCCCGACTGTGCATTTATGTGCACACTGAATGGAACTGATGTTCCTCTTAATACGAAATTCTGATATAACAAACAATTTGGCTAGGTCAGAACGAGTTTGTATTAATGAGACTCGACTGTACATGTACATTTTGTACTCCATGATACCAGTTGGTGAGGCTTTGGAAAGAATGTAGTATGCATATGCGACTTCTTTGTACAAAGTCTATGGAGACTTGAGTGCATTTTTAAAGTGTTTTTTTTTTTACAAGTAGATATGTTTCTCAGTCCCAGATTCATGTCTTTTCGACATTTTTTTTACAATGACTGACCTTCATTGAGATAATGCATGTTACGAAAAAAAAAAGGGACATCAAGTTGCAACATTCTTTCTGAGTCTTGCTTTGATATAAAATGTTTTGATCCAAAAGTTTACCATGTTCATCATGAACTCAACTTTAGAAGAAGTTTGCAGAAATAAGATGAATCGCTAGAGAACATGAACCCGAAAATCAATCGATCATAACTTAAACTTAAATTCTAGTACAAAACATTGCCGTGATGAACATATAAAGTTTTCTCCAGAAAAATTGAAATGTGTCAAATGTAAACCACAGTTGAATGATCATGGAAAATAATAAACTTGGTTTATACCCAAATTTCTTTCTTAAATTGTACTGAGGGCGAACAAACTTTGTACCAGTGCTCATTTTGTGTTCTCTCCACAATAAAACATCAATCTGAATACATCTTGTCTGCTACCTTGCTTTCGTGGTTGGTACCTTTATTCACTTTTTCAATTAAAAACTCCTTGGTGTCCATTGGAATAAAGGACGACGTAAGCAAATTAGGAAAATCATGGTGTTGACGAAAACGTCTAATGATCCCAGGGAGCCTTGATGTCACAATTAAACAACATCATAATAACTTGGTCATAACAAACTCTAATAGTACAAATACAAACTGGATGCTATTTACAATACTTGTACTTCCATCTGTGGTGCAACTTTTCACCACATGGAACGGAAAGTTTTTGTACATAAAAAAATAACTAAACTGCTACGTATTTACAAAGTCAGCATCTTTCAGGCGATGCTACTGTTTACTCTGTGCTGCCTCTTTCCTCGCTGCATCCTGTAGTAATTGTGTGTCGCACTCGTCAGCTGGCAGCTGCACGTATCTCACTACCGACCCACGGATGAAACAGTTTTTGACTGAAAGCTGCAAAGAGGAAGAAATACACATTAACCCTAGGAAGGTGAAAACAGAAATAAGACCGAGTTGTGTTGTCTAGCTGAACCCCAAAATCTCTGCTCCGAATGCTATTTACTTAGTCAGTCAGAGAATCGGTCAGTTTTAGCAGTTTTTTGATCCTGCAAAATCCTCCTCAAGCTCATGGTGGACTTTAACCCTAACCTTCCCAAATCCTCCAAAATCCTCTTGCAAAACAGAGGATTTTGTAGGATTGAGGCTATGTATGGCAAATATGTGTGGCTGATTTTGGAGGATGCACTGTGTCAAGGTCTTGGGCCGGACCTGTTTATGGTAAGCCGCGCATAATCCTCCACACTGCTCCAGGATGTCACTGGCTCTGCCTCAACATATTGACAGTGATTGCTGGAGGATTTTGCAGGATTGAGGCAGTGGTCACCCCTCCAAAGACCACATTCAAGAAATAACGGAGGATTCTGCAGGATTGAGGCTGTATACAATTTTTACATGGAGGCAGTTGGAGGATTTTGCAGGATTGGTTACATGCTAGCAAAAATGCAGGGAGTTAAGGTTAAAGGATCTTAGAGCAGGCTTTCAAGCAGACCCAGGTGAAAAAGTAGGAAAACAGTTGGATAAAAAAAACAGGACAAAAGTGGGGCTTCGGAGGACAAAATTGGGATAAAAGTAGGACTTCTGCGGGCTTTCAGGAGTAGTTTTCGCTGATACTCGCCCATATCCGCAGCAACATCAGCCTCATCTGGCATGTTTTGTATTAACAAGTTGTGCTCCATCCTCAACTAATTAGATATTGGAAGTACAATTGCAGTACCTCTGCGCCAAAGCCCTTCATTGTGTGACATTATGACAGTGTGTAACACTGTTATGAAGAATATTCAATGAGATTTCATTTTTCGGAGTTGTGGACAAAAAAGTAGGAAAACATAGGAATTTCAAGGAAAAAGTAGGAAAAAATAGGAGCAAGGCAAAAAAAAAAACTAGGAAAAGTATGAATACTTATGAAAAGTATGAATAGCCTGTTTAGAGTGTTTGGGTTCATACATGTACTAATGGCTTCCCTTCCACTACCCTTGTCAGTGGTACATATCGTCAGTTGCACCACGAAGTGACGTATCGTGTGCACAAAGCCCATGGATGATGCGTCACTTTCTGGTGCACCCGACAATATACAGCAAAGACACCCAAAATGCTTTGTGTCTTGATCATACAATGTACATTCGCTCACCATATGTGGATATTTCTCTGGGTCGGTCACGCTGATGTCTGAGAGTTTGATGTTCAGGAACTGGTCCACCGAGTGTAACGTTCCACAGATACTGGGAAATAAAGGGGGTAATACAGTTTTGCAAATAGCAATTATATAAAATTGGTGATCGCAAATACTTAACCCTAACCCACCTCATTCCTCCAAAATCCTCCTGGCGGTTTTGGAGGATTCTAGAGGATTGAGGATGAATGGTGATTGAATCAAATGAGGATTCTGGAGGATTGAGGATGAATGGTGATTGAAGCACATGAGGATTTTGGAGGATTGAGGATGAATGGTGATTGAAGCACAAGAGGATTTTGGAGGATTGAGGATGAATGCATTTTGAGGCAGGACTGTCTGATGATTTTGAAGGATTTGGCGTTGGTTTATCCTTCATTTAAACACGAGTGCAAAATTTTGGGATGAGGAGGATTTTGGAGGATTGAGGATGAATGCATTTTGAGGCAGGACTGTCTGACAATTTTGAAAAATTTAGGCGGAGTTGCAAAATTTTGGAGGATTTTGGAGGATTGAGGATGGTTGTAAGCAACAAGGGCCTAGGGGGTTAGGGTTAATCTGTTCATTAACTCAAACAGCAGTCATCATTATGACATATTGAACTGTAAAAATGCCTTTGATGACTCCTCAATGAAATACAATGCCATATATTTGTAAAGTGATATTTGTAAGTTATGAAATAATTGTTAGTTTTGTAACAATGGAAAACCCAACAACACAGCTACATAATAAGTACCTGAGATCATTCTTCAGCTCAACCACAACATCTTTCCCCACCAGAGATTTGAAGAATGAGTAGAAAAGCTGCAAAATACAAGACACAGGCATAAATTAGTTCAGGTTGAAAACAACTTGCAAAGATGGTTCTCCAAGTACATGTACATGTACGTGTACATGTACTTGTAGCGACTTTTGTAAAGCACGTACAAATTCAATACATGTAGCCTTCAGATGCAAGTGCAAAGTATGTACATTTTGGACCTTATCCTAAAACTAAGAACACGTATCGACTGTTTTGCAAAAAATAGTTGATCGTCTGGGATTTTTCCCAAAAACAAATTCATTGGAAAATGGGCTAAAATAGCCATAGGCCAATTTAGCTTACACGATATGTGCCTTAACCCTAACCGCCCTGAATCCTCCAAAATCCTTTTTGCAAATTGGAGGAATTTGCAGGATTGAGGTTACATAGCAAAAGTGCGTTGCTGATTTCGGAGTATACACTGTGTCAAGGTCTTGGGCCGGACCTTGTGTTGTTTATGCTCAGCCGTGCATAAATTTAGTCCTTGATTATACTTGAAATCCTCCGCACTGCTCCAGGATGTCACTGCCTCTGCCTCAACTTATTGACAGTCATAGCCGGAGGATTTTGCAGGATTCAGGCAGTGGTCACCCCTCCATGGACCATATTCAAGAAATAATGGAGGAATTTGCAGGATTGAGGCTATATGCTATTTTTCCATGAGGCCAATTGGAGGATTTTGCAGGATTGAGGCTACATCCTAGCAAAAAGGCCTAGGGAGTTAGGGTTAAAAAGGAGGAGGCCCTTTATACTTGATACTTCTGGGCAGTTGTCTACTAGTTGACCACAAAACCTTCTTAAATTACTTATTGAACATTAGTAAGCTAAGTAATTCACTTTTAAAAGCCCAATCACATTAATAAATGTCTTTCCCCACAAGAAACGTGAATGAGTAGAAAGCTGGGGGAAAAAGAAGAAGACACAAGTGGAAAAATTCTGCCAACCGGACTCCACTTACCTGCCGCCAAACATCCAAATTTTCACCTCACCTTGTGATTTCAACCAAGAGGAATCCAGGAAAGAGTGGACATGCGAAAAAAAATTGGTAAAAATGTGTTTTTGGAGCACATTTTGCATGCACATGTAGTGCAGATCTGAGTTGAAGCAGCCGGTCAAAACTGATTGAAGTGTCTGGAACAGCGGTACGTTGTACGCATGACATCGATAACCATGACGTCGCATGAGACGTCGCATGAGCCGGCCAATGATAGTGCAATACGTCATTATGAATATTTATTTTTCATGAATATTTAGTTTATTTCAATGAATACTTCAAATACGTCCAAAGATTGATCATTGCAACAGCGATCGTGCGCGGCCTAGCGGTTAAGAGACTCGTGTATCAAGCAAGCGTTCGAGGTTCGAATCTCGAAGAAGTGAGCGACTGATTGATAAATAGAAATTAAGGAAAGGAGGGGGTAAGAGTAGAGGAGGGAAAGTGGAGGGAATAACCATAAAAGAGGTAACTTTTGGCGCTAGAAAATTTATTGAAAAAAGTGGTGTCCGGTTGGCAGAATTTTTCCGTATTAAATGTACAAGCTCAACATGCTCAACAAGTGTGAGGTCAGGTCTTTGCTCCACACCATTTTAAATTTTATTAGCTTTCTTTTCTTTCTGTTGACATTTGTAAATATACATTTGAATGCCAAATTATTCTCGTTCCCAATCACATCCGAAAGAAACCCTTAAAGTTAAACTAGTTTAGCTAAACATGTAAAAAAAAAAATGGCCCATCAAAATTTAAGGGCGCCCTCTATAGACATCGTAATTAACAATCGCACCATGTGCACTAAACGTCAGGTGAACGTATTAAACATTAACAAACCTGGAACTTAAAATAGAAGTAAAGGCATATGAACGCATATAAACAACAAAGAAACATGAAGATGTTACCATGATTATATCTGGTGAACAAACAACGTAAGTATGACTGCAAGATGTGAAATAATACAGGCAACGCTGACCAGACGACGCGACGGCAAAATCTCACTTCACATTTTTACCTTTGACCTATCCGGTAAATATGCCTCAATATTAAAACCAAAAAGATATTCATAATACAGTAAATAGTCATTTATCTATGTGCTAATTAAATTTATTTTTATATTTTGATATATTTGTAGCTTTAATACTTAAAAATGAGCAAACCAATTGCAGAATAATTAAAAACAAATATTAAAATTACTGAACAAGGCGATACCTTAGACAGCCTGGTACCCAAAGTTACCCAATGAAATACTTCGTACGTACTGCACGCTGTAGGTTGGGAGCCGCATCAAAGGTGACATAAAAAATTCTGCATAGTCACAACACAAAAAGACGGTATATCGTGAACGCAGAATAAAACGTTTTGTTTCAGCTGAATTTGAAAATAACATGGAGCTACAAATGCAGCCTGCACCACACACTTCCATAGGGGGTCCTCAACAACGATATTTCAGCCCTTATGCAATGAATGGAGGGTAAGCAATGAACGAAATTCAATCAATCATGTTTCACTTTCACGTTTTAGTTTTCAGTCACAAGAGGGCGCTATTTATTTTATCTTTTTTTCAACTACTTCTACTTGTTCTAGAATTAGAAGGCACCTCTCATTAGCTTTCTAGTTCTAGCAATAGCAACTAGCATTGTAGCTGGAGTTACCCAGCCCTAAATCATTTTTTTATCATGTCATCTAGGGCTGGAGATAGTTTTTCACGTAACCCAGCAGCGTAGGCAGGTCCCAAAAAAAATTACGATCCACGATGAAGATTCAGCCTACAATTGCAGTGAAAAAAGGAGGAATAACCGCTAACCTGACAACCTTGCAGGCATGGCCAGGACCGCAATTGGTTTGTGCACCAAAAAATTGTGTACAATGAATGGTGGTCGATTACCACACATGCGCTGGCTGTTGGCGCATGATGTCACGCGTACCGCAGCTGTGATGCGAGTGGTAAACCTCGCAATTTTTTTTGGGACCTGCCTACGCTGCTGGGTTACGTGAAAAACTATCTCCAGCCCTAGATGACAACCCAATGATAAAATTTAGGGCTGGGTAACTCCAGCAACTAGCATTGTGATTTTTCGGTATGCTAGTAAGCTGGCTTTTGGAAATGCACTTTGATAGACGAAATAAGCACAACTAATGAATACAGGGCCACTCCACTCTACATCCGCGCCTCCGTAGAAATGTCTGATGCCGTGGAGCCGCAGTCGACCTACCTCTGAGAATTGCGCCCTCTACCGGTCCGTGACTCCAAGGCTCCACGCTTCCATGGCTCCAAGGCTTCGCACCTCCCCTGTAGTCCTAGGATCATTCATATGGATATCCTACCGCTGAGAATTGCGCCCTCTACCGGCGCGCGCCTCCAAGGCTCCGCGGCTCTGAGCCTCCATTAATATGGATATGGATGCTTCGTTCTCAAAAAAATGTAGTCCTCCTAGGATCATTCATATGGATATCCCACCGCTGAGAATTGCGCCCTCTACCGGCGTGCGATTCCGCGCCTTCGCGCCTCCAAGGCTCCGTGGCTCCAAGCCTCCAGACAGTGCCCCGTATCAAGCGCGCCCTATCTTCCTTGAGAAAACAAGTGCATTTGCTGTACTTAGCACTTTTTACACATCTTCATATTATTGTACTTTATGCCCACTGACCCCAGTCTCGATCCAAGGCTCCAAGTACATAAAAAAAACCCGAAAATGCGCGAAAATTGCAAACTCGAGGTTAATGGTGATCCCTAACGTGGCGCACTTCGACGATTCCCCCGACTTTCCTCATGCAGTGTTGCCAAATCTCTTTGTTGAAAAACTTCAAATTCATTCAGTTAAATACTGGTACTGTAATTATTACCGTAATACATGTAGTCATGAAATTAAGTCCAAAATTCAAAAACGGTGGCGTCCAGAAATTTGGCCCAGATTCGGCCAAGTGTTCCCTAACGTGGCGCACTTGAACAAATCTCAGAAAATCCCATAACATTTACAAATTTCTTTAAAGTTGATAAATTCTGATAAATCATTATTATCTCCACTCATATCCAACTATAAGTTTGTCAGAAAACTATTTTCTTATTTTTGGGCACATTTTAAAAGAAAAAGGTTCATTGTGCACTTTCAAAATAAAATCGGAAAATCACTGTAGATACAGGGTATGCTGTGGGAGAGGATTGGATAGATTTGTTTAACAGTTTGTGAAATTTTATCAGGAGGAGGGTTTAAAAACCAAAAATATTGATACACTGTATCTTTCATGTCGTAACAGGACTGTACTGGCTGTAGCTGGTGATGATTTTGCAGTTATCGCATCCGACACAAGACTGAGTGAAGGTTTCTCCATTCACAGCAGGGACCTGCCTAAAACATACAACCTGTAAGTTTCTGACGTAAAGAACACAAGATTGTCTGTTTAAAACCAACATTTTTTCGGCCTTTGAAGTGTTTGGCCAAATTAGCGGATAGCGCAGCCATGAAAAAAGGGCTGGATGAATGAATAAGCTGTCAAGTCAGATGTTTCCATTTCAGTTAAGTTGTATGTTTTAAAGCCAAAGTCCATCATTTGCAGCTATCCAAAAAGTAACTGATGTAATTATTGTTGAAAAACATACTTGGTTGAAAGATAGTAAGGGGACTAAACTCCCTGTGAAATTATTCTTTCTGGTAAGCTGTCATTTTGAAGAAATCAACGAAAGAAGGCCTTTCCAACTTCTTAAGAAGCACCGCAGGAAATTCAAATTAGTAGTTTGTTTTGTTATTCGGCGAAGCGTGCGCAAGCATTGGCACGACGCACACGCGCGCGCGGTTGCTATAATTCGACGGATCAGTGCGCGGCATCGCGTAGCTGCAATCGGCTCGGTGAGAACGTGTCTCGGACGCTGGATTCAGGCCCAATTCAAATATGACTCAGCAACTTTTGATTTGAAATCGAGATCCTAGAATGTTGTTTTTCTCGAAAAATGCAGATGAAGCTGAGCTGAAACTTTATCAGATTGGTTGTTCAGCATCCTTCTTCAGATAGTGAACACTTTTGTTTGCTTTTGTTGCTTCAAACGTACAAATTACAAATGATAGACTATACCTTTAAGTATCACATGTAATCCCAAGTGGAGTATTTGAATACACATCTTTTGCTAAATATTTAAAATTGACTATTAGGCCCCCCCCAAAAAAAAATTCGGTCTCTGGTCAGACCAAAGTTCCGGAATTGACGCGGCCACGCGGCTTTTTTTTTTTTTTTTTTTGCTTTTTTTTCTTTTTTTTCAAGCTTGGATTGTACAGACAAGGTAGGTACTATTTTGCTTTTTTGGTGTCCTCATGTACATTGGTGCCCTCCATAATTTGCCTTGGTGCTTCGATCATTTGCATTGGTGCAATTTCCCATTCCTTGGTGGAAGTTGGTGCTCTTTGGTAAAAAAAATTGAGGAGGTGCGGAAATAGAGGGCGCTGTTGGAGCTACCGCGGAACATTTTGGAAAAAAAAAAGATCGACGCGCATGATTAAAATCGACACGCGCGCTGACCAGAGACCGACTTATTTTTTTTTTGGCCTTAGAGTGGAATTTTTGCATGAGCGTGGGGAAAATGACCCTGATCATCATCTTTCCCTGTCCCCATTTATTTGCAGAACGGGCAACACAGTTCTTGCATGTTGCGGTTTTCATGGAGATGTCCTCACATTGTCTAAAGTTCTCGAGGCAAGATTGAAGGTGAGTGCATGCTGAGCCAATCTTTGTGCTGTTCTGAATGTTCTTTCATTTAGTACCACTTTAGCCACTGTAGCACCCAAAACTGCCCTGCCTATTACTCCCTGAAGCACCTGAAACCGCCCAAGCACTCAGTGGTTTTATGGGTTCTTCAGTGGGTTAGCTGTTGTCTGCTGCGAAAGATGTGGGACATTGCATTTTTTGCACCGATTACTTTGTACATGTAGACCAGAGAAATTGAATTATGGACCTTGTGCTCAAGTACTCCTCACTTGATTAACCCTAACTCCCTAGGCCTTTTTGCTAGGATGTAGCCTCAATCCTGCAAAATCCTCCAATTGGCGTCATGGAAAAATAGCATATAGCCTCAATCCTGCAAATTCCTCCGCTATTTCTTGAACATGGTCCATGGAGGGGGGACCACTGCCTGAATCCTGCAAAATCCTCCGGCTATGACTGTCAATGGACCGATCCAGTAAGCACCGCCCCATGGTATTCTGACCAATCACAGCCGTGATTTATGTCCGACACGCGTGTACAAAAGCCCGACATGCGTGCACGCGCGTATGATGCGCGCGGCAGGAAAGTGCAGTGTGGCATTGGAGAGGAGCACGTGTTAATTTGCCCACGTGCGCAGTGGGAGGGGCTTACTGGATCAGTCCATAGGCTGAGGCAGAGGCAGTGACATCCTGGATCAGTGCGGAGGATGTCAAGTATAATCAAGGGCTAAATTTAGGCACGGCTGAGCATAAACAACACAAGGTCCGGCCCAAGACCTTGACACAGTGCGTACTCCGAAATCAGCAACCCACTTTTGCCATGTAACCTCAATCCTGCAAATTCCTCCAATTTGCAAAAAGGATTTTGGAGGATTCGGGGCAGTTAGGGTTAAAGAGACAGTTCTAATGGTAGGCACTCAATTAATTGCAGCTGTACATCTTGCAATCATCTGAGGACAATACAAGTTTCTGTGCATTCAGAATAACATTATTTTGCGTGTTTCATGCCATGCGTGCACGAACCAGTGTGGGTACATGGTGTGTCCTGCACATGGATCTTTCCGAAGTGGTCACGAAGTCCATTACAGCATTCGTGACACAATGCATTAACCCTAACCTTCCCAAATCCTCCAAAATCCTCTTTGTAAAATGGAGGATTTTGCAGGATTGAGGCTACATGGCAAAAGTGTGATGTTGCTGATTTTGACGGATGCACTGTGTCAAGGTCTTGGGCTGGACCTTGTGTTGTTTATGCTCAGCCGTGCATAAATTTAGGCCTATAGTATACTTGAAATCCTCCGCACTGCTCCAGGATGTCACTGGCTCTGCCTCGCCATATTGACAGTGATTGCTGGAGGATATTGCAGGATTGAGGCAGTGGTCACCCTCCAAGGACCACATTCAAGAAATAACCGGGATTTTGCAGGATTGAGGCTAAATTTTACAAGGAGGCAGTTGGAGGATTTTGCAGGATTGAGGTTGCATCCTAGCCAAAATGCCTGGGGAGTTAGGGTTAATAATGGTTACAATGATTTGATCATGTGATGTTATGTCTTTTGTGTTGATTAGATGTACGAGCATGATAACCACAAGAAGATGAGTTGTAAGGCCGTTGCGTCCATGCTGTCCTCCATCTTGTACTATCGACGTTTCTTTCCTTACTACACCTACAACGTCCTGGCAGGAATCGATGAAGATGGTAGGTCCACCATTTCAGCTTTTATAGCCTGCTAGAAGCATCATTGCATACTTGTGGCAGTTGAAATACCTTACAGTTACATTTGCTCTGACTAGCAGTCCACTTAACACCACGACTTAGGCCAAGTTCGGGCAAGGACCATAGTCGACAAGTGGTTGATTTGTGACGTACCTTACGCCTGCGCACTAATTGCAACGTGCGAACGTCTCTAGTCAAACGCTGGTCAAAATGTCATCGCAAAACTTCTGCATCCTGGCTCTCTGCTAGCGTTATGAATACGCATGGCTATTGGTTAACAGCGAAGCAACCAATCTCAGTAGGCTGGTTCCAAATAGTCGACTAGCGTACATGTAGTCAACCACCGTCGACTAGACAGAGTTTGGGCAAACGTTAGTTAACCATTGGTCGACTATAGTCCTTGCGCGAAATTGGCCTTAGGTTGTACAGACAGAAGGGTGTTTGAAACCCCAGGTTTCACTTGGGCTTTGGATTTAGGAGAATTTAGGCCCCAACTAGGAAACACCACCTCGTAAATGAATTTGCCGCCTGAAACAAACATGACAAAGCCTGGATTTTGAAAACCTGCGTAGAATATTATTGATGTTTTTGGCATGTTATTATGCAATTCCTTTTCAGTACAAAAGAAATGTTGCCTCATGTGTTTATGTGCTGCATTTTTAAGCTCTGGCAGGACTTCTACATGTCACTTGGTGGTCTGTCTGTCTGTCTGTCTGTCCCCGAAAATTGACCAAAAGTATGGTGTTCCATATGTGCCATCGGCGTTGCATCTTTCGGCATCGCATTTTTAAGCTCTGGCAGGGATCATTTTATCAATTTTATGCAAGACTTCCATGCAAGAAAAAAAAAAGTAAATAAAATAAACAAAGCATTGGTTTCATGCAAGACTTTTTGCAACGTCAGCCTCGCTTGAGTCTAACACGGCCAGAGCTTATTGTGCACTCCCACTTGTTTCAGATTCGGGAAGTTTCTCTAACACTAATGCATTGTACATGTTGTAGTGTTTAAAGCTATAGTCCATCATTTGTAATTAGTGCATTTTGTTCGTTTGAAGCAACAAAATCTAATGAAGGATACTGAACAACTTACTTGATGAAGTTTCAGCTCAGCTTCAGCTTTATATTCCGAGAAAAACAGCATTCTAGGATCTCAATTTCAAATCAAAAGTTGCTAAATCATGTTTCGAATTGTTTTGAATTGCAGCTTTACGCGATGTCACGCACTGATCCGACGAATTATAGCAACCGCGTGCGCCTGTGCGTCGTTCCAATGCTTGTGCGCGCTGCGCCGAATAACAAAACGAACTACTAATTTACATTTTCCTACGGTGCTTCTTAAGAAGCACCGTTGGAAATGCCTTCTTTCGTTGATTTCTTCAAAATGAGAGCTTGCCAGAAAGAATAATTTCACAGGGAGTTTAGTCCCCTTACTATCTTTCAACCAGTATGTTTTTCAACAATAATTACGCCAGTTACTTTTTTGGATAGCTGCAAATGATGGACTCGGTCTTTAAGTAACCTGTACAAATGATTAAGTATGTCATTCAAGCACAGCTTGTGATTATCCCCACAGGTAAAGGTTGTGTGTACAGCTTTGATCCTGTTGGCTCCTATGAGCGTGAGGCGTATAGAGCAGCTGGCTCCTCCAGTTCACTCCTTCAACCATTACTAGACAACCAGGTCAGTACTCAAGCATTCTCAACTGGCATTCCCTGTACAATAGTCATGTTTCATCCCCCAAACACAGGCATGCAACTGGGAATTTAGAAAAAAAACAAGGAAACAGACTTTGTACCTGTAGTGTTTTTCAATTTGTAATGGTTAGGCCAAAAAAAAAAACATTTGGTCTCTGGTCAGACCAAAAATCCGGATTGATGCGGCCACGCGGCTTTTTTTTTTTTCCTCAAGCTTGGATTGTACAGACAAGGTGGGGTACTATTTTGCTTTTTTGGTGTCTTCATGTACATTGGTGTCCTCCATAAATTGCCTTGGTGCTCTCGATCATTTGCCTTGGTGCAATTTCCCATTCCTTGGTGCTCTTTGGTAACAAAAATTGAGGAGGTGCGGCAATGGAGGGCGCTGTTGGAGCTACCGCGGAACATTTTGGAGGAAAAAAAAGATTGGCGCGCATGATTAAAATGGCCTTATCATGAGAAGTTAGAAACTAGGAAATCAGCATGGCAACATTTCACGGCGCTTCTTAACAGTTAGCAGAAAAAATGTGCTTAGCATAGCAGAAAAATTTGCTAACCTTAAGCACTATTTCATGGCGAGGATGTGCTAACGGTCAAGCGTGCATGGAGATTTCTATTACGTCACTAAATTAAGCAAATTTTTCCTCTGCAGAAAGCGTGCCTTTTGCTTTGCTTATGCTTACGGCCTCCATGAAATACAAAATTCTGTGCTCAGCAGCGCCGTGAAATTTGGCCCTGGTCGGAGGAAAAGTAGCATGCCTGCAAACAGATTCCTTTTTTTAAATTGCTATTTTTTCCGGCAATACAAAAGTTATTCACGTTTGTATACTTTACTTTTTCAAATTATTGGCGGCCAGACAATGATTCTGTTCTCGAGGGGTAGGCTGGTTCCCGTCCCACAATCAGTATCGATAATGCACAGACTGGGAGCCAGCCTGCAAGCCAAACAAAAACCTTTCTTTCAGAGGATTGCGTACGTTCCAAAAAAAACAAACAGAAAGGAAAAAAAGGGTTTTGGTTAGAGTAAAACATACACGTTGGAACATTCATTAACCAGTTCAGGCTGGGTTTATTTTGACAGCGACCAGACCTAGGCGCAGGATTATTTTTCACGAGATCAATGCCAGACGGGTTCAGGCCGTCATCTGTGGGTAGCACACCCTGATATTTCCATGAAATGTAATTTTTGAAAATAAAATCCTTAAAATTGCTCCCCCGTGCTGTTGAACAATTTTTTTCTTCAGACAAAATTTTCAACTTAACTGTTTTAACAGCATCCAGCCTCTCCCCAGTCCCTGTTACATGGCCAGAAACAAAGCAACTTTTTGTGTCCAATTCTACCTTTCTATAATCACGCACGATGCTCATTCCTATTTACTTGCATAAATAATTTTTCTTCATTTGTCAGATTGGCGGCAAGAACCAGGAAGGTTTCAACGAACTGCCTCTCAGCCAGGAGAAAGCCGTGGCACTGGTCAAGGACGTCTTCATCTCGGCCGCTGAGAGAGACATCTACACTGGCGACGGCATCATCTTGAACATCATCACGACGGCTGGTGTAAGCGAGGAGAGGTTCCCACTAAGACGAGATTAACCGTCTGTTTAAATCTGTATATCAGTGTAGTTGTTTTTCAAGTTTCGAGTCCGTCACAACTCCAGTCCACAAGAACAAATCACAAATCTGTTACTGGTGAACACATTTGAATGCATACATCTTTTGGCCAGATGTTTTTAAACAAAATGCAATTAATGGTGTGACTGTCTTGGTCGGCACTGCATCGCTGGTTTGATTTTGGAAAAAACTTACACTGTTGTTTATTTCCACAGTGTCATCACTGTAATGTACAGTGGAACGCCGCTATATCGAACAATTGGGGATCCACGAAAATTGTTCATAAAAGCGATTGTTTGGTACAGCGATGTTAAGCTGCCAGTGCCCCAGTACTCGCTTTTCAATAAAAAGCGTCCTTCAGAACTTCACCCTTGCAGACTATTGAATTATGTAATTACACAGTTTTTGAGCTTACTACCTACAGCAAAGGGTGGCTTTCCCCTTCTATTCCGTGTGGAAATAATAGCCACTTGTCACTCTTCTGCTGACATTTTTTGAACAACAATGTTCGGTATGTTTTGTACACAAAAATCGGGAGCCAAGGATGATGTTTGGTATAGCCAAATGTTCGGTATAGTGGTGTTCGGTATAGCGACGTTCCACTGTGTTTCTTGTTCAACACGAGAATATGTATCTTGAATGAGGGCAAAAGAAAATTAAAACCAAATAAAAACTTAGTAAAAGCAAATCAACTATAAGCCCGAGTATTCACTGCTCCTTACTAAAAATTTTGTCTTCACAGAATATATTTCAACAGACTGACCATAAACACAAGCTATGTGTAAGGTTTTTCTTTGCAGAGTGTTCTTTTTTATTTACATCTATGTACAATTCTTAATTTACAATCTACAGTGAAGCACGTTGTGCTAAATAAATTTAAGAATGTAGTTACACGAAAGCAGATGTCCTTTTCGTATTTGCTGAGAATTTTGTAAGAAAATCTTCGGACGTCAGACGAAGTATCTCCCAGATAATGGGGATGCTCAGGGGTATATATTTTTAGTCCGTGCAAAAGTAACCCCCTCAACGGTTACGTGGGGAGAGACCACTAGCAGGGACATTGAAACGCATTGCTGCCTTACGCCTGGCATCCGAGCAAAGATGTCACTGGTCAACAGTCGCTTTCCTACCCTACCACTGGTGAACATGTGTTATGACATACAGATCCTTGTCATTTGATTGGTGGAACTCGCATCACGCGACATTTGTTAGGACTCCCATTCATGCCAGGGCTAAAAAAAGTCCCATTCCCCAATGGGGAATGGGACATGCTATTCAACAGACCATTCTTGTTCCATGACGCGGTAGTTTTGTGCAAATGCATGCTGGTGTGCGCGTTCAGCGTTGCGCTTAGCGCGTATTGTTCCAAAGAGCCAGCGCTACAGAGTTGGGTTCAAACATGTTCATGAAGGCGTGGTTTGGAAGAGAAATACCTTTTCCACCAATGGAAATAAAAGTTCAAATATATCAAATGACAAGGACCTATATGTCAGTTATATAAAACAAATGTGAGTGGCCTTAAATTGTGGAATGGGAGGAATATTATCACTCGGTAAAATCTGGACCTTTCCAGTTCACTCGGCTTCGCCTCGTGAAATGGAGAAGTCCAGATTTTACCTTGCGATAATATTCCTCCCATTTCACTCTGAGCCACTCAATATTTGTAATTTTGTATACTACGGGTATGTAAGGGGAAAGAGTGCCCTCAATGGTGCAGGCACAGTGCATATAGCAGACCCAGAGAATATAGCAGACCCTACTGAACCTAATCAAGCCACCCCAAACTCGTCTTCAGGCTCAACACTGGTGCACATTTGAACCTGTATTGTTATATCGTGCGCTTGGACACTGTAATTTCATTGGTCTAGGTTGGCCACGTGTCGGGACAATAAAAATGCATGTCACACACCGAGGGTGATATCGCACTGCGTTCATTGCGTGCGTTGTGCGCACATGTGGAACCTGCCGGCGCGCTAGCTCTACGCAATGAGAACTGCAATGTCAAACGCTCAGTCTCATGTCCGACAGGACATCAAAACCTTCAGTTATCAAAGGTTACATCGCAGTGATCTCACACAGTAAGTTACAACCATTTCTCTCTTGGATTTGCACGATATAACAAAGCAATCGTTGACTGCTATGATGTGGGATATGTCATTTTTAACCCCCTCGGGGCAAAAACGTCATATCCCACATCACAATAGCCAACAACTGGTACTGTTCTATCTGAGGGGACAGATTGCCCTCAACACTTCATGCGCAGAGCATATAGCCGACCACACTACGTCTGTTATGTTATCATCAGCTCATCTTGTTGCTGGGCTAATTGCTGCCTCTGGATTTCATCTTGGTGTATTTCGTCGTGATCTGGATGCCACAGTCCGACGATGGTCCGCTCCACTGCAGTACAGCTGACGGTGTGGGATTCCAGAACGCCGCGATGAACCTAAATCAGGATTAACAAATGCAAAAATGAGGACCTGTCCCATCTGTTAAAGGGAAAATACAACATTTGCAAACATCAAAAAATAAAACTACCGAATCATTTTGAAATACCTTGCTGGACTGTTAGTGAATGACAGTGTAAAGCATCCTGTAAAATCATGGCACCTGGTATACTGTCATTTTCAAGAAAAGTGGTATTTTTGTATCAATTTCGAACGCTGATCGGCCGATCAGCATTGGAAAAAAACTGGCTTTTTTTTTCAAATACTGGCCCCAGTTGACCATCGCACTTGTTTGCAATCGATTACACACCTATGGACGGGTACAAGCCCGCTAGACTGGTTCCCTGACCTTACAATTCCCCAATGTATGTAAACTGCTCTGTTTCTACTTAAATGGAGTCAGGGAACCAGACTACAGGAAAATGATTGTTTTTCTTGGTTTTTATAGCATTTTCGAACCCAAACCCTCAAAAAAGTCAGTGTAACTATATTTGCTATAATTTCCAACCCCTCAATTCCATCCATTTCTGAAAATTACAGCAAAAGCAAATGATGTATATTCCCTTTAAATGTGGGAATTGAATTTCACATTTAACCCTAACGTATCTGAATCCATCAAAATCCACACCCCTGTTTCGGAGGATTTCGGCGGAATCAGGATACCTCCATATTGAAAAAAGTTGGGGGATTTCGATGGATTCAGGACAGTAAGCCTAGTGGTACTGCAGGGTTTTGATGGATTCAGGATACCTCCATATTGAGCAGTTGGGGGACTTTGATGGATTCAGGATCTCAACAGATTTACTCGCGGCTAACTGGTGGATTCTGACATTTGTCTGATGGACTAACTGGCCACCAACATTTTTTTGCATGGCAAAATTAATGGATTTTGGCGGATTCAGGATACTTTCTAGTAAAAATACCCAAGGGATTAGGGTTATAGTGAGCATAACTGCCAGAAGCATAAAGAAGTGAAATGCTAATGAAATTTCTACATTCTAATCAGTCCGGGCATGGAGTTTTCAAAAAGGAACTTTTGACATGCCAACTGCATGGCAAAATTGGGTAAAAAAAAAGTCTAAAGCAACACAGAGACAGAAATTAAACAAAAAGCACCTGAACTATATTACATTGTGCTTATTCACTGAAGCATCAGCAAAACCATACAGTGCTTTGGTGGTTTTGGTCGCTACAGTGACTAAAGGGTTAACCCATTACTCACTGTAGCGCCTGAAACCGCCCTGCCTATTACTCACTGTAGCGCCTGAAACCGCCCTGCCTATTACTCACTGTAGCGTCTAAAACCGCCCCGCCTAGTATTCACTGTAGCATCCGAAACCACCCTGCCTATTACTCACTGTAGTGCCCGAAACCGCCCTGCCTATTACTGTACATGTAGTGCCCCAAACCGCCCTGCCTATTACTCACTGTAGCGCCTGAAACACCCTTTGCTTTTACTCACTGAAGCACCTGAATCCGCCCTGCGTATTACTCACTGTAGTGCCCGAAACCGCCCTGGCAATTACTCACTGAACAGACATGCAACTTTTCCTCGGATCCGCTGATTTCCTTGTTTTTCACTTCTCATTTTCACTTCTCCTGAAACCACCCTGCCTATTACTAACTGCAGCGCCTGAAACCGCCCTGCCTATTACTGAAGCGCCCGAAACCGCCCTGCCTATTACTCACTGAAGTGCCTGAATATGCCCTGCTTATAACTCACTCAAGCGCCTGAATCTGCCCTGCCTATTACTCGCTGTAGTGCCCGAAACTGCCCTGCCTATTATTACTCACTGATGAAGCGCCTGAATCCACCCGAGCACTAATACATGTACAGGTAGTACAGATGCTAATTGGTTAATATTTTGGCTGGTACATGTACATTTACATGTAACTGGCTTGCATTATAAAAGCAAACTTTACTTTTTACTTTAAGAGTATACTTGCACCCTGCACATGATTTGTTCCCCTCACCCCTCCACCTTAATGAGAAGGCAATCTGAAATAAAGTTTGATGATGCTTTTACCTGCAAAGCATCTAGCAAGTCATAGACTGATACAGGCTTCTGAGGAGGCGGGTTACCAGACGTTGCTTGCTGCATGACGGCGCACTGTTCACTGGTCTCTGAGTCTGGTCTGGTGACTGCGTACTGGCCGGATGCAGTTTCCATGTTGACGCCATTACAACTGATGACAAGGTCAAAGAAACGAGAAATTTATTGTTTTATTTTGCAAATTGTATACAGTGTTCAGTCTTAAAAACCAAATTAAGGAGTAATTGCAGGATACCCCACCACTCGGAAATACACCCCTAAAATCACTGGCTACGCGGTTGGAATCACTGGAAAAGAAACAATTCAAGTCCATTGCCAGCTGCGCGGATACTGAGTGGGGGTCCATTATTTGAGAACGAAGCAACACAAAAGGAATGGGATGCTGAAAAATTAAGTCCAAACCAACCACCCTGTTGGCGGCTACGCGGATACGGAGTGGGAGTCCCCTTGAATATGCTTGAGAACGAAGCAACACAAAAGGAATGGGAGTTGCTGAAAAAATTCTAAGTCCAAACCAACCACCCTGTTGGCGGCTACGCGGATACGGAGTGGGAGTGCAGTGGAGCATGACGCAGAGTACATACAAGTAGCGCTGAGGAGGTTTATTGAGGGCAATCAACCGTGACCTCGTAGCCGGCTACGAGGTGGATAGATTGAGTGGCGGGGTATTCTGCAATTATAAGTAATAAGTACAGTCGACTCTCGTTAATACAAACTCTGTTAATACAAGTTCTGGTTATAGCAAACGTAAAGCCTTGGTCCGGACTGTGTATTTATGTGCACAATGAATGGGACCGGAACTCCACAAAGTCCAAAATTCTGATATAACAAACATTTTGCCAAGGTCTGGCCAAGTTTGTATTAACGAGCGTCGACTGTGACATGTAAAGTTGTTTAAAGGTAACCGATCCTATAATCAGGAACCGGTTCCTGACATCAGTGGTTGGGTACTCGGGTACCCCGGTTCCGATGCACAGCCCTAATATTGATATCGCCAATATGATTTTTTATCATATTCAAATATCGCAGTGATGACAAAGATGCAATAATGTACATATAACGTCTAACCTTTCTTATGTTACCTTTTCTCACGATGAGACCGGTCTCGCGCCTGGCTTCTGAGCGACGGTAGTTGCAGAACGGCACCCATGTTGTGTTTGAATTTGCCGTCTCGCACACTGTAGCCACTGCGCCGAGTAATGACAGCACTGATCACGTTCTTCAGTATGTGCTGGTCATCAAAACACATACAAACAAAAACATAAGACACATAAAACTTTCAGACATAAGGCCCAAAAAAAAAATATTCGGTCTCTGGTCAGACCAAAGTTCCGGAATTGACGCGGCCAAAATTTTGCTTTTTTTTTTTTTTCTTCAAGCTTGGATTGTACAGACAAGGTGGGGTTACTATTTTACTTTTTTGGTGTCCTCATGTACATTGGTGTCCTCCATAATTTGCCTTGGTGCTTTCGATCATTTGCCTTGGTGCAATTTCCCATTCCTTGGTGCTCTTTGGTAAAAAAAATTGAGGAGGTGCGGAAATAGAGGGCGCTGTTGGAGCTACCGCGGAACATTTTGGGAAAAAAAAAAGATCGACGCGCATGATTAAAATCGACGCGCGCTCTGACCAGAGACCGACTTATTTTTTTTTTGGCCTAAGAAGTACAACTGTAAAGTGTGTTCGATTACTTCCCCTGCACTTGCTCGTGCTAGCGCCACTGCATTTGATTTACCTCTCAACGTGACTTTTCACGCTTACTCGAGCCTGGCCCAAGTAACCGACCTGCTGAGCCGGTTACTCGGGTAAGTATCCCATTAAGGCCCTGATAAAACATGGCTGCCACGTCCGGCGATGTACCAGCGGTGGGAAGTTCAAAAACATAAATTTTGTATCCAAATTACTCTGGAAGATGTTCGGAAATTTCACACATTGTGTTAACAGTGTATCTGAAGCAGCAAGAAAAAGTATGTCACCTTCAATATAATTATTTAAAACCAATCCACTTTCAATAAAAAGGGGCTCCGATATTTAACGTTTATTATTCAATATGGCCGCGTACGTCACTTGTACATCGTCCAGTGACCCAAGATCGTTTGTTTACTCTCACGTATTGCGCATGTGCGCAATAGAGGCATGCGATTTAGAGGCATGCGAAAGTGTGAGGGAGTAATTGAACACGCTGCATGTGAATTGTATCTTGGAGCTTAATTCATTAACCCTCATATTCAAAACTACATTCTGTGTCAAGTTGTACTTTCAGTCAACATCAATCAAGTGACTGTTTTCAACAGTTAAGAGCTCCCAGCCTGCATAAAGCAGGATTGACTGGCTGTGACTGTTTATTTAGCTTGATACAGTTATGCTTCGACTGTAGGTGATTTACTTGCTTGCTTTTATCTGTCATGTCTGTTGACTGAATTTGACTAGTCACAGTGCATGCTTGGAATATGATCTGACTGTTGGTGACTAGCCTGTGCAAAAGGCATGGCAGGGAAAGAGGATTGATTTTTTTGACTGTCTGTGACTGTTGAGATAGCAGGAGGGTTAAAGATAAATAAGTTTGTCATTTCATTTTCTTTGAAGTTGCTAGGTGTGAGACAGGTACTCTTAAAAAAAATGTAGCCTAGAACATATCAAAGGAAGACAGTAAAGATATCTATAGGACTTTTGAATGGAAACACAAAATGTACAAGTCAATCACAAGTCAATCGCAAAATCCTCTATTTTCAAGTTACATGACAAGCTAATCAAACAGACTCTAACAGAAATTCCTGTGTCATTGTTTATCCACTGGTATTTGTGACCTGAATGGGATTGACTTGTGACTGGACACGAGATTGACTCATGATTGATTCGTGATCGACTTGTGATTGACTCGTGATTAGACTGTGGTTAACTGGTGGTTGACTTAAGATTGACTTAAAGGGAATATACAACATTTGCAAACATCGAAAAATAAAACTACCAAGTTTTTACGGAATACCTTACTAGGATGTTGGTAAATGAAAGTCTAAAGCATCCTGTAAAATTATGGCACCTGGTGTGAAGTCATTTTCAAGACAAGTCAGGTGTGTTTACAAACACAAATGCCCCGCAACCGTGACTGTTTCCATGACATAACACCACTCTAACATCAACTTACATGTACCTTGGTCAAATGGAACGTTCATTGACAGCATTAGTGTCCTCTGTAGGTTTTATATGAATTAATCCCTAATCCCTATGATCTCAGAATAAATACAAGATTTCTATTGTTTTAGCCACTGTGACCTTGACCCTTGACCTTTCGACCCCCAATGCGATAGGCCTATTTGGATTACCAAGCACGATCCACAAACCAAATTTGAAGTTCATATGTAAAGTATTTCTCAAGTTATCGCGCTGACAAAATTTCTTTTGTTTTAGTCACTGTGACCTTGACCCTTGACCTTTCGGCCCCAAATGCAATAGGCTTCTTAGGATTACCAAGAACAATACACAAACCAAATTTGAAGTTCATATGTAATGTATTTCTCAAGTTATCGTGCTGACAAAATTTCTTTTGTTTTAGTCACTGTGACCTTGACCCTTGACCTTTCGGCCCCAAATGCACAAGGGTTCTTAGGATTACCAAGAACAATACACAAACCAAATTTGAAGTTCATATGTAAAGTATTTCTCAAGTTATCGCGCTGACAAAATTTCTTTTGTTTTAGTCACTGTGACCTTGACACTTGACATTTCGGCCCCAAATGCAAAAGGGTTCTTAGGATTACCAAGAACAATACACAAACCAAATTTGAAGTTCATATGTTAAGTATTTCTCAAGTTATCGCGCTGACAACATTTCTTTTGTTTTAGTCACTGTGACCTTGACACTTGACATTTCGGCCCCAAATGCAAAAGGGTTCTTAGGATTACCAAGAACAATACACAAACCAAATTTGAAGTTCATATGTTAAGTATTTCTCAAGTTATCGCGCTGACAAGATTTGTCCAGACACACACACACACCCACCCACGCACCCACCCACGCCGCGGGGCATAAAAATTAAAAAATACAGGTAGGACTTTTGAGGACAAAATTTAGATAAAAGTAGGACTTTTGCCAGCTTTCAGGAGTAGTTTTTGTTGACATTCACCCACGTCCATAGCGTCATAAGCCTCATTTGCCTAATTGGCATGTTCTGTACTCACAATACCATTGCTCCATCCTCAACTACATGTAAGCTATCGGCAGTACAGTTGCAGTACTCCTGCACCTAAGCCCTTCATTGTGTGATTTACATACATGTACATATGACAGTGTGTAACACTGTCACATGTGAAACACTGTCAGTGTGCAACACTGTTTTGAAAAATATTCAATGAGATTTAATTTTTCAGAGTTGTGTGACGAAAAAGTACGAGTTCAAGAAAATAAGTAGGAAAAGTAGGAATACTTTGAAGCCTGGGCTTGTATTTGACTTGTGATTGACTAGGACTAGAGATTTCAATCTCTGATCAATCTGCGTTACCTGCACTGAGTGTGTTATCAAGGGTATAGTAGCTCCTGAGACATTGTCGACGCCCCACTCCCACGCCGTCACAAAGACACGCCCGTGCAGCATGGCAGCGTCTGGTAAGAACAAACTCCGAGCGCAGAAGTCCAACGACTCTTCAACCTGCATGGCCACTGCGGGCGCCTTCAGCATGGGATCTGATGGCACAAAGCGATTCTGAAAACAAACAATTATAACAGTGGTATTGAGAGGCACTGCTAACATCTCTGGTCCACTATCCGCTCCGTTCACAAGTACCCCCTCACCGGCAAAGAAAGTACAGTTGGGGGTGACTGACCGACGCCATCTTGCCTGACTGCAATTTTGCCGCGACGCGTAGCCACCACTAGCACCGCATGTATATAGTACAACTGAATCTTCTGGTGCACGTGCGTCACACACAAGGAACGGTGCGCGTCAACCACCTAAATGTCCTGCCCATGGGACGTCGTTGCTAGGTAAAAGGGCGCCCTCTTTCGTTGGCACACGGAGCCCATAGGTGAGCACAGACATCAGGGAGCTTCTTATACATTGCCTAGTCTAGTTCCCGGACCTATTTACATAAAACTCTATGGTTCTTGAGTCTGGAGTCTTGAAAGGCAACTCATCCCAACCGGTGAAAACTAGAAAGCAGGCGAATACATGTTTTCACCGCTGGACGTAACCCCGCCCACACCTACATAAAATTACATTGATGGGCCCTTTAACCCTAACAACCCTGAGCCCATCAAGCTCCAACAGCGGGTTTTGCTTGATTTTGGCAGGGTTGGTACCGAACACTGGCCAGCTGGTGTTGGACTTTGATTGACTGGGTACCAAAGGCCCAGGGAGACCCTGTTGAATTTTGTGAGGTTTGGGGCAGAAGATTTGTGAACACGTTGGAGTTTGAGGGAGTTCACTGGCATTTCTTCGTGGGTATGCTCACCCACGGTCCTCAGCACAGTTTGTGGTCAAATGTGCATGTACATGGGAGTTCACAGGCATTTCTTCGTGGGTACGCTCACCCACGGTCCCCAGTACAGTTCCTGGTCAAATATATTGCTTTATTTTGTTAGGTTTGGTACCATCCCTATCCAATCACTCGACAATGCATAGGCCCATCCATACCAAGTCAATCAAACTCCAACAGTTGGAGTTTGGCAGGTTTAGTACTGTTCCCCGTACAAGGCCTGTTGGAGTTTGGCAGTTTTGGTACCAGTGCTTACAGACCTGTATGCAGCTGTTGAAATTTGTTAGGTTTGGTATCCTTTCTAGTGCAAGAGCCTAGGGGGTTAGGGTTAATGCTTCTTTCAAACCTCAATTTTAAAAATGACCAAAAGAAATGAACTTGCACAGGATTTAAACAAGTAACCTCCGAAATACCAAACCGGTGCTCTATCATCTAAACTATCTAGAAGCAAATGAATGTTTGTATGCTCAGTGGCAATGGTGCCCATAACCACGCCATCATTTGGCCCTTTTTTTTTAAAACACTCAAAAGCACATTGCTTAAGGTTGACCTTTTGACCTCAAGACTGACCTCAAAGGTGGGTCTGACCAGGACTTTCTTCTTCTTTGGTGGTTTGCTCTTCTTGGAGGCCTTGTCTGAGCTGCTTGACAAATTGCTGCTCTTGACCTTGGCCGCCTCTGCTGGGAAAGTGAGAAACCTAAAATGACTATTGCAACAAAGACTTACAAAAAAGTTAATAAAAGACAGGCTTGTGAGATATTGGATTATAGAAAAACCATGATATATCTTCACAAAACTACCGAGTATACGATAGTGCCAAGTTCCTTTCTGGACGGACTATTATGTCATCAAAATAATGTCAGATATGTAATAGGGACAAAGCGAACAGAGGGCAAAGACCCAAACAAAGGTCCAAGCAAAAGTATTGGTTATAAGTCCAGCACCCGATTTCATCAAACTCTTCGTAACTTACGATGCATCGCAGCGATGCGACGCGTCGTATCTCTACGATGCGTCGCAGCTGCGACGCGTCCTGCGATCCATTTCACTAAACACGTCGTAAGTGCGACGCGTCGTAGGTGTATTTATAGCACAACTCGGTGACTGTTTTATGTCTTTAGTCAGCGCACAGTAAATAGTCGTCTGATATTCAACAAAGAGTCGTCGGATCTCAGCTCGAAATTTGTTAAAACGTAAAACAAAATGGCGGCCTTGCGATGCAATTTTGAAGGAAAACAAGCTCTCATTGGACTGTATAGCTACTTTGAAATTTCAACTCTAATATTCCGGTCTAATTCATAATTATTCAATGAATTTTCTATTTACAACTTTACACACATTGCCTCGGTATTATAATCTCGTTAATGTAATGTTTGTGGCATAAAACTGGCTTAGAAATGACTCTTCTTATTTTGCGATGACCACTAGACACGTCGTAACTTGCGACGTGTTTTAAGCCGTTGTCAAGGAACTTACGACGCGTTCAACACATCGCAACTTTAGTGAAATGGAAGATACGACGCGTCGCGAGTTGCGACGTGTTACACGTCGTAACTTGAGTTGCGACGCGTCGCAGCGCTTCGTGAAATCGGGTGCAGCTCCCTAATTTTCACTTATAAATCTAGATACACCATGACCACAAATAATTTAAGCAGTTACATGTGCATCCATGTACATGATGTACTGGGATTAGTCTGGGAGACCATCGCAAGTTTGAACGTATTCGAAAGACGCCTGATGCTCACGCACAAGGGTGCTATGGCACAGCTTTGTGCACATTCAGGATAAATACATTGTACGTCGTGCGTACTTCGTGCGCGAACCAGTACAGTGAGCACACGCGGTGTTCCGTCCAAGGGGCTCTCAAAGTGGTACAAACGCGCCCTCTTTTGTTGGCGCACGGAGCCCGTTGTATTGTTTGAACTCACCTGATGATTCTGAACTAAGCACTTGACATCTTGTCAATACTGTCACCAGAAACTCATTGTGCAAATGAACTGAAACAAAAATAGAAAGGACACAAGTATGTACAAGGTTTTATTAGTTTTCAACATGCTAACAAATCTACAGATTTGTTACTACAATATCCCCACAGTACTCCCCCTAGTCCGAAAATGTGGGACTCTTAATACTGTGTATCTGTATGAGAGTCCCAAAACTTAGGGTACTGAAAACGTGCAACATAAGAGAATAGACTGGCACAGTCCAACAACCCTTTAGTACAGCATCAGTCAACTGTGTCAAAAGAAACATCTGGTGCCGGTCTATTTCTACACATCTCTCCATAGTCTGCCACCAGACCATTGAAGGGTCAATCTTTCAAACAGCCTGACATGTACCAGTCTAGTCTTAGACCTTAACCTTACAGGGGGGGGGGGAGGGGCAGAATCCGCCCCCCCCCAACTTTTTACGCGATAGCCTCGAAAAATTTTTTTCGCGACCCGAGCTGACTTTTTAGCCTCAAGCCTTGCACATTTTTTAACACCAAAAACATAAAAATCGGACCGCGGGTTGCCGCGCAGCGAAAATGTTTTCCCATATACGTAGTGTACACAGAGCAGAATTACCATTCGTGCATATGAATAATTAATTAGCCATAATTCCAAAATCCTTTGACCTATAGTCATGAAATTTCTTTGGTATGTTCATGAAGAGTTGTTCTATGCATGTACTGAGTTTCAAAATTTTTCTTCATTTGATGGCTGAGATCTTCGCCCCCCCCCCCCCCCCCCCCCCCCCCCCCGGCTGAGAGATGGTCAAAACAACCCAGCCCTTTTAGGGTTCAATTAAGATCACTTGGCTTCACTCTCAGGGGTAAATTATTGAAGAAAAGTCTCATTTAATAATTGATTTGAGACTTCAAACTTGGCTGGTGAAATACTGATGACCTTGTCTTTGCCTTGTGAACATTTTGGAGAATTGTGTCGGCTAAAGAGTGATAAATAAAGATAAATGAAGATGGTCAAGCAAGATTATGTCTTTACTTTTATAGGTACATGTACATGTATTGCTTAGGGTTGACTGAAGACATCAGATGCAATGGCATAATAGTCAGGGGTAATACAATGAAGCAAAATACGTGACATACCGTTTTCATCATTTAGAAGACGGCGGGCTTCTAAATCAAATTCTTCTTTTGTTATCTGAAAAGAAGAAGTGCAAAAAAATGACCCCGTCCATTGTTATGACTTCAATTTACACAAACAGGGCCTATTTGTCCAAATACATGTGTGGCAGGTTAGCCATGCGCGTCGGCAAAATGAAAAAGTTTTTTTTTCAATGAAAGATGATGTCTCAAAACCGCCAAACTCACTGGTTTGACTGGAATCCTGCTGCTGCACAATTTTAATGTGTTTTTAGATGGGGTTATGATCGAGAATAAGCTTTATGTGGCCTCTCTGGACTCCCATATATTTGCACTAAGTTTAGTCGGGCACCATTTGCAGTCATCAGCCGACATTTGAAGCAAAAAAGTCAGGTAAAAAAAAAAAAAGCCGCGTCGCCGCACCACTTTTTGGGCAAGCTCCATACCAGAAACTTTTTTTTTTGGCCTTACGTAGATGTAGCTCTAGTCCGAAAATTTGGGACTCTCAATACTGTGTATGAGAGTCCCAAAACTTAAGGTATTGAAAACATGCAAAACAAGAAAATAGACTGGCACCTGAAACAACCAGTCCAACACAGCTTCAGTACTGCATCAATCAACCATGCCAAAAGAATTTTTAAGAAACAAGTGGCATGAAGCGGGAACTAGTCTCAATTTACTACACATTTTTCCATAGTCAAGCCACCAGACTATTGACACTGGATGAAGAGATCAGTCTTTTCAAACAGTTGGACCATGGTTGGACATGTACCAGTCTCGTCTTTAGCCTCATTTTGAAATCACTTGACTTCCCTCTCAGGTGCAAAATATTGAAGAAAAGTCTCCTTTAAAAATTGAATTGAGTCTGCAAACTTGGTTGGAGAAATACTGAGGACATTTTCTTGGCCCCAGTGGAATTTTTGGAGAAATTTGCTAGCTAAACTGTGAGTAAAGTGGGCCTGATTTAGTTTTGCACGTTTCAGAGCACTCCAGAGCCCTGTCTGATGTAGCTCAGTTTCCTGGCCTGTTTAAACAAGCTAAATGGAGTCAATTTTTAATAAAATAAAATGTACGCGGATGTCAAATGTACTAACACTGTGGTCAATGCAAGCAACCTTGATGTTCCCTTTGTATTTTTTTTTTCTTAGGTGGTCTTATATTTAGAACAATGAGTCTTTTCTCCATGGTCATGATGGCGGTGAGCAAGATACGGGTACCGTAGAAGATAAAACTTACTTTTTGTCTGTACCACAACTTCATGTTGGACCAGTACCTACATGTGTAACAGTTAGAGACAAAAAAATCATAACAAAAGGGTTAAAAAAGACACGTACATGTACATTGTAGCTCTTTCGTGCTAGGGAGGTTTTGGGGGGGGGGGGGAATTAACAGGATGGATGATAACTGTTCATTACAACTAATTTCAAAAGGAATTACATAAAATGAGGGCTTTATTATTTAAAAAAAAATTGTGGCAAGGGGGATGGAAAGAATGTATTAATTGGAATGTTTTGAAACTTGCGCGTGCAAGGCGTCCAAATTGCGCTTGATAATGATAGCCCAATCGATTGCCAGATATTCACTGAACTTGAGAAGTGACTGTTTTTCGGACTTAAGACATTTTTACCGTGACAAATCTTAGTCCGGTTCCACGCCAACATTGTGACTTCGTACAGTCCACCTAACATGCCTAAAATGACGAGGATCTATTTTGACGCACTCTCAATTTGCATTGGACAACACGCGTGTGTTGCAAACGTTACCTGCGCCGATAATGGTGACTGGAGGATATTCACGAGGTCAGAATCGGACCACATTTCATTACAATTTCAGACTTCAGCATGTTTTTATTTTTAGTCCACTCCCACTCCCATCATGCCCATGTCATGCCAGTACTTTTTTAGGCCTATTTTCCTTTAAATAAAATTAAAACAAAAATCACAGCCTACACAGCCACGGGCATAAGACGGGTCAGAAAAAGACAATGTAAATTGTAATATTCTGCAATTAAATGTTGGAGTCAATTAAAAATAGGCCTAGGCCTAGTGAAAAGAAAGATATTCTTATTTTTTACATAAATACATGTTTTGTATGGTCAAAAAGTTAAAGAGGGCGCCCTACTGGCAGACTGGAGACATTTCTTTTACGCAGTGGCTATTGTTACGGCAGCCGTAACGCATTTCCCATTTTCTATCGTTACGGTAGACTGCAACTTTTATAAAAACATGACAAGAAAATATAAAATTAGAAGGAAAAAAGTGAATTTGAACGTTATGAAATTCGGACTTTATTTCCCTTTTAAAAAAAATCCTCCAAAGCCTCAGGTTAGAAAAGGAAAAAAATTCCAGTGCAAAACTGAGTTTCGAACCCGCAACCTCGCGGTGCAAAATCATACCCTCTATCGCCTGAGCTGTCGCACTGCTTGCTTCAACATGTGGAAACAAATAATTATATACCTGCGTGCGTATCAAAAAAGTATCGTAGAGGGCGCTAAACAACAACTGCCGTAACGATAGCCACTTCGTTTCTTTTACGTTTAAGCTGTATTTTATTTGCTTGATAACTCACTCCCTTGCAATTCAACAAAGGATTCATTTAATGGTATGACACCTCCACACCTCATTGTCATTTCCGACTCAGTCTAAAACTTACTGTTTGATGTTATCGCCGATTGCATCGGACAGATTTCTCTTGGCGATTTTAAGGTCGCTCATCTTGCTTAGGACTCGTGTTTGTCCAGTTCTCGTCAATGGAGGGCGCTCTTCATTTCCTAGATAAGTTTATTTTGGTTCGCACGTGCGGCTGTTGTACGAAAGCCCATTAGCGCCACTGCAAGTATATATGTTGGGGATTATTTAATTCGTTATTACGGATTATTAATTCGTTATTACGGATTACTAATTCGTTATTACGGATTATTAATTCGTTATTACGGATTATTTAATTCGTTATTACGGATTACTAATTCGTTATAACGGATTATTTAATTCGTTATTACGGATTATTAATTCGTTATTACGGATTACTAATTCGTTATTACGGATTATTAATTCGTTATTACGGATTATTTAATTCGTTATTACGGATTACTAATTCGTTATAACGGATTATTTAATTCGTTATTACGGATTATTAATTCGTTATTACGGATTACTAATTCGTTATTACGGATTATTAATTCGTTATTACGGATTATTTAATTCGTTATTACGGATTATTTAATTCGTTATTACGGATTACTAATTCGTTATAACGGATTATTTAATTCGTTATTACGGATTATTAATTCGTTATTACGAATTACTCATACGTTCTGAGTCATTACTCGGCAAGTATGGCACAGGCTAGGAGTGCAAACGTTGTATGCAAAGATAGCGCCGCCTAGCGGCGCTTTATACACAGGCCCCTGGTCACGTGCTCTCCACGATGAGAACATCAGACCTAATTCGTAATAACGAATTAATAATCCGTAATAACGAATTAAATAATCCGTAATAACGAATTAATAATCCGTTATAACGAATTAATAATCCGTAATAACGAATTAATAATCCGTAATAACGAATTAAATAATCCGTTATAACGAATTAATAATCCGTAATAACGAATTAATAATCCGTAATAACGAATTACACAATCTGTAACATATATACTTGCAGTGGCGCTAATGGGCTTTCGTACTGTTGTGCTTTTGAATCTGAGTTACATTTTTTTGTTTTCTTATATCCGAGTCAGTTGAATTCATCATGCGAATGCTGCGCACGTGTATCCTTTGTCTGAGAAATCACCTGCCGAAAATTGGAGCCCAAAATGGTCTCTGTCATCGCCAATTCGCCTCCGGAATTTCCGCGGAATCGACAGGCAGATTTCCCCCAAGTTGCTTCCTGAATCAAAAGTTGTCAAGTTTTTCGAACAGACATGCATCAGACAATTCTAAGGCGCAGCTTTTCAAACCAAGACACTTTTCATCAGCTTTGTATACTCCTTTGTCGGAAGCGGACCACGCTCCATTTGTTTTGAAACCAGAAATTGACTTTGAGGGAATGTTTGAAGACCTTGGCGAATTGGAAAAGAATTTGGAAGCCAGAGGACACAAATTCAATGTGTCAAAATTGGTGAGAATTAGTGCCGGTTCTTCATATTTGCAATTCATGGTAGTAGACTAGTAGTAGTACTGCTGTCTAAACTTGCGCAAGGGACTCCCGAAGTACGCAAATTACACCGCGCCATTTTAATTTGCGTGGGCACGATACAACTTGCGCAAAGGCGATCGCAATTTGAGAACCTTGCGGGCGGGATTTTCATTGAGGAAGAAAAAAACATGTTCAAAACACGAGTACATGGAGGAATAAATTAATAAATAATGGAATAAATTAATGAACAAAGAAATAAATAAAAGGGGAATTCAATTAGCATCAATGAAAAAAAACATTGAGATTTAGCAGTGCTTAAATCAGAGAAGTTTTTGGGTGGCGTAAAAAGAATGATTATGATCCCTTCAATTGTTCAAGTTTTGACGTTATAGTATTTTATTTATTAATCATTTACATTATTTTTTAAATGCTTTAAATTACATTACATTACAATACAATTAAAAAAAATACTTATTCTTAAAAAAATACTAATTTAATTAATTTAGCAATTAATTAATTGGACGGTACAATAGTTCATTTTGTTTTTAAAAATACTTTGCATAACATTTCGAGCGCTGTGTACACTTCAAAAATGCATAATTTGAAAAAAATTAATGAACTCATTACTGATGCAATTAATTAATTTGATTTATTACTTTAACAATTAGTTTATTTGCAGGCTCAATAATTCATATTAATGTTTACATGCTTTAACTTTAAAACGCTATGCATGTATAGGCCTTATGGTAATATTTTAAAAAGTAAATAATTTATTAATGATTTAATTAATTAATTTAATTGATTAATTTAATTAATTAATTAGAATTAATGAATAAATATGTTGTTTATTAAACAAAAATCCCAATAAGCCTTAAACAATAATACACATCATGATGCAAAGTGCATAAATTGTTCGCATTACCACCCCTTATCTCTGAACCTCTACACAGTCAACCTCATTAGCATAATCTGTTAATAAAATGTTTCAAAAAAGGGCATTTATGATTTAGGCATTGTCTCACGAAGCACAGTGGTGCTATTAATCGGAGAAAAATCTGCTTTAAAAATTATGTTACATATCTACATGAGTTTACCAGGAAAAAAAACATTAGTTTAGCGGCTTTGCATGCATGGGGAAAACTATGTAGTGCGCAAGTTTAAACTTGCGTGCGCAATTTGTAGCAAGGAAATTAATGCACGCACAGGTTTAAACTTGCGTGCGCGCAGGTTTAAACTTGCTTGCGCAAGTTTAAACTTGCGCGGGGGGGTCTCAAATTGCGCTCGACACTGCCAGTTAAACACATCAATGATCACCTCACCTTGTGATTTCACCTAATTATATGATTCCAGAAAGCTCTGGAAAATCGTTCGGAACAATGTGTTTTTAGAGCACACTTTGGATGCCCACATCAGCTCGGCAGCAGACAGTCTTGACAGCCATTTGTGGCATTGATTATTGATTTATGCTGTGCGCGTGACGTGACATCGACAATTAACGCACTACCCATACCCAGTCTGTAGTGCAATCATCATGATCATCATCTTGAATATTTATTTTTTCATGAATATTTAGTTTATTAAATATTCATTAGCCTTATACTTTAAATACATTTTATGGAAAGATTTCCATATAAGAAGTTCACTAATTTTCCTCTGTATTGACTAACAAGCCCTCAGATAGCAATTTCATGTCATAAAAGTCAATTTGAGCAGTCATGGCAGTGAGAAAATACAAGCATTTTCTTAGAAAACACTTAGAATTTTTCAGTCCACTCTCATAGGGTTTGTACACAGGATGTTGAGTGAACTTCTTATATGGAAATCTTTCCAATAACAAGATTGCGGGTTCGAATCCTGGTGAAGTAAGTAACTTAATGAGGAGGGAAAAATGTTGCAACCTGACGCCACTTCTACGATTGTGTACAGAGTCTACAATGTATGGAGAGTCAAGAAAATGTCCTAACAAATTTGGAAATATTTCTCAGTCCCAGATTATGTCTTGCATGTATCATCATTTTTGCATTGAATGACCTTCATTTAGATGATAGGCCTATGAAGAAAAAAGTGGCGTCAGGTTGCAACATTTGTTTCCAAAGAGGATTGGAGGAGGGTAGAGAGTGAGTCGAGAAGGGAAAATAGATGAAAGAAACATAGAAAGTAACTTTTTGGTGCTTGAAAATTGATTGAAAACAAGTGACGTACGTGTATGGTAGACTTTCCCAGTACTGAATTACAAATTGTTGCAAGAAAGTGGACGAAGAAAAACATGAGAAAAAAATGGTGAGTGAAAGTGAAACTGAAAGTGAAAAGACTCAACTGACATGACTGAAACATTCAAAGGCCGTGATTGTGTGAAACTGCATTTTTATTTTTTATTTAAAAATTAAATGATTGTTATCTATAATATTTTTGTTTGTGTTTCTATTCAATAAGCTTTCACTTTGGGAACAGCTCCAGAGTTTTGAACAAGAGAAAAGTTGCATTGAGGAACGGAGGGCAAATGTCAATGAGGATATCAAACAGTTGAAGAAAAAGGTAATCAGATCTGATAATCTTATCGAATGAAATGATTGCTGGAAATTACAGTCAGACATTGCTAATTTTTCAGTGATTTACTACGCTGCAATTGTATGTTAATAATGCATGTGCCAGCTCTAAAAAGTTGTGCTTGTTTGTATTGGCTGAGCATTGTACATTGTAAATTCTCAAGCTTGGTTGCTTGATCTGTTTCTGACTCATGTAAAGGGACAAAAAATTATACCCCAATGCCCCAAACCTTTGCAATAAAAGTTCCACGTCTCTGTACTAGTCTTGTTATAAATGTACCATCTCATCTCAAGTTTCTGACTAATTAAGTGCTTCATAAAGACTGTGAAGTACACCAGGGGAGATGGGGGGGGGGGGGCAACAGGGTCATCACCCCCCCCACCCCCACCCCCCCCCCCCCAAAAAAACCGATCTCATTTTTTTTTAAAGTGACGTCACAATAAAGGCAGGCACTGCGTACAACACCATCTTTTCCTCAACAAAATTTGGTTAAAGTGGTCAGAAATTGGCATTGCGGTCAGATCTAGATCGCACCTCAGTCAGAGCATCTAGAATCCAATAAATTTTTTTCGGGACCCTTGAGCAGGCCCCGAACCCTACGGCCTACACCGTAATTTTTTTACCCACTTTTTGGGGGAACAACTTTTGGGGAAAAAAAATTGGACACACACATGTGTTTGATGTGATAGAAATTGGCTAAGTGCAATAATACTAAGAAATGACTTAAATTATGTGTCCGTTTGAATGAGCTAACTTTGAATATTTACGTTTTTCTGACATCTTGTTCTTTCTCCACAGGGTGGCGCAAAGAAGCAAAGAGACAAATTGCAGCAGTTGGGAAAATCACTTCGGGAAGAGCTACGTCATGTTAATGTAATTGTATAATTAATTGAATTTTTACACATTAGTCAAACTATAATGGCACTATATTCAAATGATTTTATAATTGAGCGCAGAGCATTTGGGTGGAGAACCAACCAAGTACCAAGTAGCGAGATCCACAGTGCGTTAGCCCAAATGTTTCACGTGTAAACAATATCCACTTTTTTGATGTCCCATTTGCACGGGAAATTTGAGTAATGTTTCCGAGAAATAAAATACACTGACATATCCAAATGTATCAGCATTAATTACTTGTCCCACTTGATCAGTGTGAAATCATAAACAAAGATTGCATGTTTGGAGAATTTTAATTAGGGCCCATGATTTACTTAGCCTTTAGTCAAGTCCCACACGCTTACCTGGACACGTGACGCACCCCGGATGCTGACACGTAAAAAGACTAGCACGAGCGGCGTAGCCGCGAGGGCCTTTACCATCTCGTGAAGAACGCTTATGTTTTTCTTTACATTTGTCTACCGATTTGGTAGACATGCATAATGCATTACCCGTTGTAAACTGACCAATGAAAATGCAGAATTACTAACGTAAATCAGCCGTCGTCTGACGCCAGACAGCACGCGCACCATGGCGCGCGTGCTGTTGCTGGTAACCGCAAACCACCGTTAGATGATTGGTTTATATTGCTTGATTTATATTACGTGAATAAATGAATAAGTGATTAGTTCCGCGAGATAGTAAAGGCCCTCGCGGCTTCGCCGTTCGTGCTAGTCTTTTTACAAGCCAGCATCCGGGGTGCGTTACGTGTCCGGATGGTCCGGGTATAGGCGCGTGGGACTTGACTAAAGGCTATGATTTACTGGGGGGGGGGGGGGGGGGGGGGAGTTAGATAAGAATTTGGTAAGTTTCATATTTTCCCACTCCAAATGCAATTTGTTCCTGTCCCATTGTCCTAAGATCACTGTCTTGACTTTGTTCAAAACCTGTAACTGGTTTCTGTTTTCTCCCCCAGTCATCCATAGCTTCATTGTCAGACGAGTTTTACCCCACGGCTCTCAAGCTTCCTAACAAGTTACATCCTGCCGTGGTAAGCACATTTATGATGCCATCAGGCTAAGTGAGTCGTTTGTCGGGAATTAACATTTGGAGATTCAGGCCAAAATAGGACCATTTTATCACATCACTTCATCACATTTCTTGGCGTTCCGACTTCCATAATTTTTGAACTTAAGATAGAACCAGCATGCGGTTTTCACAGCAGTAATGCTGAGATTGTGCTCTTTTCAAATCTGTAAAAAAACATTGACCAGGGCCCTGGTCGACAAATGACTCATTTAGCTGGATTGCATCACATTTGTATTTGAGCTTTAGCAGAAAATAGATGCGCAAGCAGAACACATAACAGAGTGTTAAACTGTAAAGCAGTTAAGTTGTTATGATTTTAATTGAACATTGAACAACCAAAGGCAAAATCACTAGCACTTTACAGTTTTTAATAAATAAATCATGTTGAAGTATTTTTTTTTTTAAATGGGAAACAGAATTAGGCCTATCAGGAAAGAAAAAGGACACATATTTCAATTAGTTAACAAAATGACAAAACATTTTAAACAAATAAACCAACTGGGAAATCGAAGTGAAATTGTTAAGTTTTAAGAAGTAGGCCTATACTTTGTTTTTTTAAATACAGCCTCATGGAAGCACACCAAAGATTCTGGAGACATTTGGAGCCGATAGAGGTAACAAGATTAGGCAAGCCTTGTAAACTTGGTCCCAGAGTGCACAGAATTCTATTCAGTAGATTCTGAATGGCTTTAAGTTTCTGGATTAATCTGTAGTGGTGACGTGAAAGAAATGAAACATCCACTTTCTGTTTCGCAAGGAGACTTTACTACTTTATAAACGTGGGCCGATTTTTTGCACATCTCATTTACAGGGAAGATACAACATTTGCAAACATCACAAAATGAAATGATCAAATTCTCATGAAATACCTTACTGGATTGTTAGGGAATGACAGTCTCAAGCATCTTGTAAAATCGTGGTTCCTGGTGTGCTGTCATTTTCAAGAAAAATTGTATTTTTCCAACGCTGGTCGGCCAGCCAGCGTTGGAGAAAACTGTTTTTTTTCTTCAAAAACTGCTCCTAGTTTTTTAAAAATTAGTTATTCCGCGTTTTCTTTGCAATTGACTACACACCTGTGTAGGGTTACAAGCCTGCTAGACTGATTCTCTGACCTTACAATTCCCCAAATTCTATAAATTGCTCCGTTTCACCTTAAGTGGGATCACTGGGGAACTAGACTACAGGTACACGATTGGTTTTCTTGGTTTTTCCAGCATCTACAAACCCAAAACGTGAAACAGGTCATTTTAACAATATTGGCTGTGACATACTAATCTTCTAAATCCATTTATTTCTGAAAATTGCAGCAAAAGCAGATGTTGTACATTCCCTTTAAAACTGAAGTTTCCTTTTGTGGGACATTTTGAGAATTTGTAAAATGCCATATCCTCTCTGAACGATCCCCGTTTGTTCATCGTGTCTTTGGGTGATCCCTGGCTGTGTGGCATATACAGGTTTATGGCTTCTGACTAGCGGCCCTTGAACAAAGATGGGGAGCCACCAACATAAGGCTGGACAGCTTAGTAGACAGAGCACCGCAATGGTAATCTGGAGGTCACAGGTTCAAACCCAGCTCCAGTCAGTTTCTTTGTTCAACTTGTCAAAAACAATTTAAAACTGCATAATTTTTGTATTGCTAGAAAATAGAAATATACTACAAAATCTATTTTCGTAGTGAAACCGAAAAAAATGGCAAGGGGAGTGCGACTTAAAACAACCATGAATTTGTGGCTTTCTAGTGGCGCCTTTGAGTTTCTTCTGTTAATTAAGCAATGATCTGATTTTGTTTCTTGCAGAAGAGAAGGCATTGAAGTCTGCAGAATTTCCGGAAAGGAGTTTTATGACGAAAAGGTAATTTGCCAGTACGTGGAAATATAGGCAATTCTTGATGCAAATGTACAACATTTATAAATGTAAAAAAAAATACACTTGTTGTTCAGGGTTGGGTTGGTTTCGGTTTTGCGTTTGCAATTTTCAGCAAATCTTGTGAGAAATCTGAAATAAACAGAAATGAAGTAAGACCAACCTCAACCCACCATACTGTAGTACATGTGGTTTGCGGTCTTACATGCACAGTCTATAATGTGTAGCCCCACCAGTAGACAGTAGGTAACGTTATGAGTCTTCACTGTACTGTACCGTATGATTCTTAACTGAGATACAGTGATTATTTTCACGTGGCGCGAGTAAGTCCATGCACAAAAACCGGACACAGATTCCCAAGCCAGATATTCGGAATTTTTAGGGGGGATCGGATCAAGTTCGGGCCGGTTTTTGCTTGAATTTTTGTCGGGTTGGGATGAATTTGGATAATTCGGATCGGTTTAAGTTCGGATTCGGTTCATATTGTGCACAACATTAGTTTATAGTAGTTCGTCACTTCAATGCAACAAGGTTGTATCTCCTAAAATGGCATGAACCCAAAACGTGAGTTTTAGAATGTCGAAAGGTCATATCTTGCTTAAAATAACCCGGATGTTCACACAAAGTCAATGGACGTCTACCTAGGTAGTAGAGAAATCCCTAATTCGCGTGAGAATTAGAGATCGAGTTACCTTGTTGAACTGACGCAACGAGTTGATCTCTTTGTGATGTTCTCTTGCAGTCACCCCATGTCCCATGCTGGGTATGCTTACCTAGAGCACGACGCTGCACTGATGGAGCTAGCATTAACCCAGTGGGCTACACAAGAACTCCTACAGCAAGGCTTTACTCCATTCACCTGCCCAGCTATGTACAAGTCTCTTGCCTTGGTGAGTTGCTCATCACATGCATGTAGTTGTTGTCAAGTCACTCACAAGTCCATCACAGCTCAGTAATAAGTCAGTCACAAGTTAAAGTGAATATACATCAATTTGCTTTTGCTGTAATTTTCCGAAATGGATGGAATTGGGGGGTTGGAAATATATAGCAAATATAGTTACACTGACTTTTTTGAGGTTTTGGGTTCGAAAATGCTATAAAAACCAAGAAAAACAATCATTTTCCTGTAGTCTGGTTCCCTGACTCCATTTAAGAAGAAACGGAGCAGTTTACATATATTGGGGAATTGTAAGGTCAGGGAACCAGTCTAGCTGGCTTGTACCCGTTCATAGGTGTGTAATCGATTGCAAACAAGTGCGATGGTCAATTGGGGCCAGTATTTGAAAAAAAGCCAGTTTTTTCCAACGCTGATCGGCCAATCAGCGTTGGAAATTGATACAAAAATACCACTTTTCTTGAAAATGACAGTATACCAGGTGCCATGATTTTACAGGATGCTTTACACTGTCATTCACTAACAGTCCAGCAAGGTATTTCAAAATGATTTGGTAGTTTTATTTTTTGATATTTGCAAATGTTGTGTTTTCCCTTTAATTGCAAGTAAACCACTTGCTGCGAGGATTATTTTTGGTCGAGAAACACAAATATTTTTTAATATTGAGACAAGAATTAAAAACACCACAAATACTGAATCTTTAGAGTCATAATCATTCGTACAATATTTTTACTAATGGCACCGTAATTTCATATTTTGCAACACTCCAAGGCCCTGCCACAGAGCAATACTTGTTATGATGACAGGCCATGTACAGCAGGTTCAAGTTCAAAAATCGGTGTGTACAAAAACAAGAGACTCGAGGAAAGCTTGACAATTTAACCCGTAACTCTCCCCTGCGAATAGACATTGACAAATTGTGTTTACATGCATGTCCTCCAGTGTTATTATACAAATAACGAATGTTTGTGAGTGCGATGGTAAGAATAATTTCATGAGGTGACAGATTGAATGTTCTATTCCACGAGGCGAAGCCGAGTGGAATAGAACATTCAATCTGTCACCGAATGAAATTATTCTTTCCATCGCACGAACGTAAAACATTCGTTATTTGTTTTATACAACACCTGAATAAATTCTCGTCATTTGATTGGTAAATTATAAACTACAATTTATTTTGATTTTAAAGATGTTGAACTACCCCTTCACGAAAATGTTTGAACCCAACGCTGTAGCGCTGGCTCTTTGGAACAATACGCGCTACGCTGAACGCGCGCGCACACCAGCATGCATTTTGCACGCAAATACCGCATCATGGAACAAGCGCAAAGTGAAACGGTATAACGCATGGGTATAACGCATGGTCGCACCCTGCATTATACCGAATAATAATATGTCACGTGATCTACAATTCACCAATCAGATGACGGGGATTTATTCAGGTGTTGTATAAAACAGGTTAATCACAAGTCCAGTCACAATTCCATCACATGTTGATTGCAAGTCCGGTTACACCTCTATGTTCCGACACCCCTATGTTCCGACTGCACATATTCCTATTCCTAACCCTAACCCTATACCGGGAGTAACACAATCTAGGTTGTCGGAACATAGGGGTGTCGGAACATAGAGCAGTCACCGCAAGTCCATCATAAGTCAATTTTGGGGTACTCTATAGACCCCCTTGCATTTTTACTTCCCCGATGCAATACAATGTTCCTTTTTGTTGCAGGAATCTCTGGGATTGGAACCTGAAAGCAACAATGAGGTACACTCATTTTCTTTTGTAAGCTTACTCTTGTCAAGTCTATTTCATTTTCCTGAAATGCACTGTTTGCATCTTCTTCAGTCATGTTGTTGCCATTGCAAGAGCCATCTTGACAAAACACAATTGGGCAACCCCATATGGGTGCATAGCTGTAAATAGGCCAAAAATCCGTCCGCCGAGCTCATGAATAAAAGTTATACCCTCAAAATATTCTATATTAGAGAGTTTTGAGAGCCACAATATTGGGGAATTGAAGAAATATGGTAATGAACCTCTGGCCCGGACTTGGGGCTTCCAATTCCGAGCATTTTGGATGCAATTGGGCTCGAAAGTGGTGCTATTTTGCCATGTTGTCATGGTTGTGGAAGGATCGTTTTTCAAGATGGCTACTTTTCCGCTTTGGAGAAAATAGGGGTCGTCTTCTTTGGGTGAGAATATCTCGAAAAGTCAATGGTCAACCCACCCAAAAATGAAAAGAAAATGAAAGATGACACATTGATCATCATTTTTCTGTGCAGCTTGAATACCTGTGAGAGTTCTGAGTATTTATAAAAGAATTTTGAAGTATGCGCATTTATCACTAGTGTCTATGGGATTTTTCTTGCAGGGTTGCACCCATATGACAATGTTTGAACCTGATCCTGCTTATTGGATCATCTTTGTTCGTAAGAATTATCTGGAGGCCTTTTAAGTTTTGTCAAGTTATCAATGGACCTTTATTGAGCCCCTTCCCCCCCCCCCTTATTATTTTTTGTTGGCAAATCAAACCCCATGATTTGATTGAATATTTACTTCCTGTAGACCTATGCCATTGAGACTAATGAGAATGTACAGTACCTTGCTGGAGTCAGTCCATTGAATTTCATTGGTAAGTATTCATTATGTAATCTTTTCACACCGTTTAATACCGTCAAACAACGGCACTGGAGTGTCGATCATGGCCTAGCGGCTCAGAGCATCGCACCGGACTCATGCTCTGGTGTTTCAGAGGCAGCATGATGTGGGTTCGAGCCCTGGTCTGGTCACTTGTGCCCTTAAGCAAGGCACTTAACCATTATTGCTTTGTCCTTCGGATGGGACGTAAAGCCGTAGGTCCCATGTGTTGTGTAATGCAATGTACCTAAAAGAACCCAGTAACACTTATTGTTAATCTGCCCTGGTGTTTCTGGCCTCCAGGTAAACTCCCCTGCGGAGTATTGAGGAGAAGAACCAACCAAGTAATGTTACAAGAACTGTAGGTGAATTTAGTGCTCTCTATCGGTCTATAAGAGCTTGCATGAAAAACACTTGACATGCTACACGTAGCTGTGTTTTAGCAAAGGCATTTGGATCACAAGTAAATCACAAGTCCATCACAAATAAATCAAAGTCAGTAGACATTCTCAGTCTGCTGATTGCAGCTACGCGATGTCATCACACATTGAACTGTTGAATAATAGCAACTATGTACGCGTGTGCATTGTGTCAGCACTTCCGTGCGCCCATTTAAGGATTCACTGAATTAAAACCAACTACTAAGTGGAAATTTCGAAAAATGCGTCACTTGACGCATCTTTGGAACTGGCCTTCTTTTATTGTTTTCTTCAAAATGACAGCGTGCCAGAAAGAAATAATTAAGTGCCATTACTATCTTAAAGCCAAGTAAGCTTTTCAACAATAATTTGGTGAGTAATTACTTTTTTGGATAGCTGCAAATTGAACAACTCTACCTTTAAAACTTTACCATTGAGCTTTCGCTTCATACGTCATGCGGAAACCAAAGCAAAGCGAATTTCATAACGTCAACAAAAGTTCCATTGTGACATTCGTCGTTACCCTGATTAATTCACTTTGCACTGAAATTTGTGTAAACTGTGAACACCAGCCTTTAATTTTGTTCATCATTGTTCATGTACTTGGGCAAATTTCTTGGTATTTGTCTTTGTACAATTTCAGTGTTATTTTAATTTCCCATTTTAGGGGCATCTGCATTGTTTTTTTTGTTATTTTGGTTGGTTTCAGCTTACTTCATGATGTCTGTCCTAGAAGTGGCTGATCTACCATACAGGTAAGCATTGCAGAATTTTTCTGGGTTTTCAAGAAAAGTATGTGACCAGAGTGTTTCCACTTTATTTATATTTCTGGATTCTGTGGAACAGAAGCTTCCTAATGGTACATGTATATAACATTCGGGGGTAGTGAGTTCAGCAATGGAATGTAGACTGCCAGTAACATTGAAGTTACATTTTAAGAAAGCTTTGAGAATTTAAATATGTAGTAAATTGCAGTAAATTTGTCTGAGATAAATGACCCTTTGGTTTAAATTTTTCTTCACACATACTTAAACATTGTTTTGCATTAACAGATTAATGATGCTTTTTTCACTATTTGTAGTTCATCAAAAGACAAAGCTGAACGCTATGATTTTATGTTATAATTGAATAAGATGGGATGTAGTTGTGACAATTGTATTTTGATTAGCCTATTTGATGTATAGCATACACAATAGGAGGGCGCTGTTTGATTTGGGTAAAGTCTTTTGTATTTACCCAAACCACATAGCACCCTCCTATTGTGTCGGCCTTATCTCACACATACCAATAGCAGTGTGACATTGTTGCCCCATTTCTTAGTATTTTTCTTCTTTGTTTCAGGTGCTTCACTGTTGGAAGAAGTTACAACAACCATTTAGGTATTCACACATCTGGGACCAATTTTATGGATGCTTAAAGGGAAAATACAACATTTGCAAACATCAAAAAATAAAACTACCACATCATTTTGAAATACCTTGCTGGACTGTTAGTGAATGACAGTGTAAAGCATCCTGTAAAATCATGGCACCTGGTATACTGTAATTTTCAAGAAAAGTGGTATTTTTGTATCAATTTCCAACGCTGGTCGGCCGACCAGCATTGGGAAAAACTTTTGTTTTTTCAAATACTGGCCCCAATTGACCATTGCACTTGTTTGCAGTCGATTACACACCTATGAACGGGTACAAGCCAGCTAGACTGGTTCCCTGACCTTACAATTCCCCAATGTATGTAAACTGCTCTGTTTCTTCTTATATGGAGTCAGGGAACCAGACTACAACAAAATGATTGTTTTTCTTGGTTTTTATAGCATTTTCGGACCCAAAACCTCAAAAAAGTCAGTGTAACTATATTTGGTATATATTTCCAACCCCCCAATTCCATCCATTTCTGAAAATTACAGCAAAAGCAAATGATGTATATTCTCTTTAACAGAAATTATTGCTTAGCAGCAGAGGACCAGTCAACAATATATTTTGAATGACCTTTTTTGGCTGGTAACTTTGATATTTTGCTTGCTCAGAAAATTGTTTTCGTGCTTATCAGCTTCATGAGGTCGGCTTGTGATCTATTATGTGAGGTGTCCTGGCAAAATGAAACGGAACTGGGCACAGGCCTTATAATTAGTGGAGAAAAATGCCAAAACCAAATCGATGTGATTTTTTTTTCTCGCGATTTATAGATGTTTGTAATCTTTGATAAGTCTTTTAAACATATTTTACAGAAATAGTATAAAAATCGTGGAATAAACATGTTTTTTAGGAAAAACATGACATCTTTTATTTTCACGAATATAAAATTCAAATTGTTAAGGCCTTTGTCTCAGAATGTTACTTTTTGACATGTTGATAAACATGTAATTTAAACAGCCATAATTTGTCAATGGAATTATGAAGTGCATCAGACAGTATCGTAAGGAGAGTTTTATTCTTTTTCCTAATACCAAAAATCCTCAGTTTGACCTCTGCCCAGTTCTAGTCTCATTTTGCCAGAGCGCCTCGCATATTTAAGGTCAGGAATAGCTTTAAAGAAAACAGTGCAAAATATTTATTAGTGTGTATTTCCGGTATTTAAGAAAATTGTGAGAAACTGTGGCAAGTTGGAACTCATATGCTCAAATCTTAGACTGAATTGCAAAAAATATGAAATCATTGAATCAAAGTATTATATGTCATTTCAAAATGTTCCCTCAGTATGTATGTATGTATGACATTTTGAAAAACTCTTCACTGGGGTTTAAAGGGAATATACATCATTTGCTTTTGCTGTAATTTTCAGAAATGGATGGAATTGGGGGGTTGGTAATATATAGCAAATATAGTTACACTGACTTTTTTGAAGTTTTGGGTTCGAAAATGCTATAAGAACCAAGAAAAACAATCATTTGCCTGTAGTCTGGTTCCCTGACTCCGTTTAAGAAGAAACGAAGCAGTTTATATACATTGGGGAATTGTAAGGTCAGGGAACCAGTCTAGCTGGCTTGTACCCGTTCATAGTGTGTGTAATCGATTGCAAACAAATGCGATGGTCAATTGGGGCAAGTATTTGAAAAAAAGCCAGTTTTTTCCAACGCTGGTCGGCCGACCAGCGTTGGAAATTGATACAAAAAATACCACTTTTCTTGAAAATGAAAGTATACCAGGTGCCATGATTTTACAGGATGCTTTACACTGTTATTCACTAACAGTCCAGCAAGGTATTTCGAAATAATTTGGTAGTTTTATTTTTTGATGTTTGCAAATGTTGTATTTTCCCTTTAATAAGCACTGTCAATATCAGCACGGCAATAATTGATATATTGGAAATCCAATATCGAAAATATCATCCCATGTAAAAGTTAAAGACCATAAGATGACACTTTGATTTAAAAAAAATTTAAGTCCCAGTTTTCCACAGCTTTCTCTGGTGGATATTTCTCAATTTTTAAAACAAATCTCAGCACTGAGAGTTTGTCCAGATTGGGCGTTGTTTTCGATTAGTTTCACATTGGGGGAGACCGCGAATTCCAGCGAACACAGTGCACACCGACGGCACTTGGCATTTCACGAGTCACAAGCACAAGTTGCCGCTGGCCAAGTTTTATTTCAGTGTACAGCAAACGATAAACACAAAGTAAAAACACAAAGGGGAAATTTATTTTGACGATAATCTGACACATTTTGATACATTCGATATGATTCCTCAATATCGAAAATTTCGATATTTTGATATGATTAAAAAATTGCTATCGGCGATATCGATATCAAAATAATTTCGAATAATCAAGAAATATCGATATATCGACGGTGCTTAGGGTTTAATATATTTCAAACTTTTGTTTTGATAGAATCAACTCACTTTGAGGGACTTCATAAAAGTTTCCAGACACAGAAGGTAAAAAATAAAAAATAAAAATATATTGTTGAGTTATTTAAATGTAGCTGTTTTAGTCGATGACAAGTATTTGAAATCTACGATGTCTAAAGAAATGTACAAAAATGGGATAGACTTTTGTAGCAACTTTTTTATCTTTAGATCGTTATCGAATGATATTTTGTCTTTTACAGGTTGAAATGTGCGGTGTGTGTGAGAACACTGAAGCAGCTAGCAGTGCACTGTTTACTCAGTTTCTGAGTACAGCAAAGGGTCTTCTATCAAATCTTCCTCTTCATTATAGGTAGGAATGGGGAATAGAATGGATAATTTGATATGTGGAAATATCAAAAATATGGTTTACACTAAAAATGTTTACATGCATTGGTTAAGTTGCGAGTAGCTGATAGTTGCGATGTTGTGGGAAAACTTGGAAAAAAGGTCTACCAAGCTTTTTATGAACTTGAGTTGTGTTACAGACCCTGTGCATTGCAGCCATGTTGAGTTGTGTGTTTTTATTCCGCAGGATATGCATGGACCTTATTCATACAAGGAAGCCATTTTGGTCGTGTTCCCTGAATGTATTTTATGAATTGTGAACTGTTGAATGCGATGGTGCCAGACTATTCATACAATCTAGCCTCACTTTCATTTTTTGTTAATGTGGCTTAAATCTTTAGGGTATGTTTAATTACAAATTATTCATCAGAGCAGACTGGCAATAATTTGTAATTCACAAATACCTCGGACGGTTTAGCTATTCCTATTGGTCAAGAGCCCGTCACGTGGCCGGTCTTAAACGGATGATAAAGACATGGCTAGCTGGTCTTAAACACTTTTCCAGTGTCACATAAAATGTGGACTCCTCTAAAAATCCAGTTCCTCTTACCGTTTTATTGGTTGAATGTTCACAATCCTCACGTAGGCATGCGCAACACTACCAGCGAGTCAGAATTTTATAATTCTAAATTCAAAACGCAACGCCCCAGGTGCGTTCTGCGCGACATCGCGCAGAACATGATACGCGCGCATCAATCTCCATAAAAGGGTTGTTTACATCTTACTCGCTAGCTGAACACTCAATTATTTTGCTAGAGGGATGTTTCAAAAAGCATGAAGTGAACTTGTTGAACAAAATCGGGATTTTTTTAACAAATTATTTGATTTTTTTACCGAAAAGGTATTTATGAATGGGAATAAATATGTGCTCGGTTGGTATTTATCACTCTGTTTAAGACCGCTTAGAGTCTGGGTGCTGATAATTACCCTCGCCTCCGGCTCGGGTAATTATCAGCACCCAGACTCTAAGCGGTCTTAAACAGAGTGATAAAAACCTCCAGAGCACACATTTATTCCCTTATTAACTTTATGTCATTGCTTTCATTTCTCTTTGCATTAGTTCCAAAAAGTAAGATTTTACCTCACTTTCAATTTAATATGGCCGACTCGTTAATTCCCTCTTGTGCATTCAGCGTTACTGAATTAAAATAGCAAAAAGATTACTGCTGCCGCGCAATGTTCAATTTCTATTCTGAAAAATTTCCTAAATCTTTGCATTACTTTCTAATTTTTGAAGAATTGTTGAGGTTCCAAGCGCCCACCTACTTCCCAGCATGTACAGGAAGTGTGCCATTGAAGTCTGGATACCAGACGCTGGTACATTCTCAGAGGTAAGTTGAAGCAAATGTAAAACTTCAATTGAACAAAAAAGTTCCTCACAAATTTAGCAATAATGGCGTTTTAATTCCAGAATTTTTGTACAGTTTTTCAAAACATTTTCCTTTCCCTTTTAGTTCATTTGTAATGTTACAACTGACAAATTGGCATTGTGCCTCTCTTAATAAGGGGTCAAAATTAATATTGCTGTAGATCAACTATTTTTTGTTGTGTCACCAAAAAGAAGTTTTCTCAATATTGTAGTCCTCTATATCATAGAGGGATGAAAGGTAGACTCATTTTTTCATTTGTGCATTTGTTTTGAAGCAACAAAAGTGCTCAAAATCTAAAGAAGGGTGCTTAACAACTAACCTGATGATAGCTCAGTGAATGCTGTATATTCCGAGAAAACAATATTCTAGGTTCTTGATTTCAATTCAAAAGTTGCCGAGTCATGTTTTGAATTGCGCCTAAAATCAGCATCTCGGACACGTTCTCATTCAGCCGATTGCACTGAATCAACGAATCATAGCAACCGGGCCTGCATGTGCATAGTGTCAACACTTGCACGCACCTATTCACAGATTTTACAAAACAACACAGAATTACAAACCAACTACTGACGGAAATTTCCAAAAATGCGTCACTTGACGCATCTTCGGAAATGGCCTTCTTTTATTGTTTTCTTTAAAATGACAGCATGCCAGAAGGGATAATCTCAACGGGAGTTTTAGTGCCATTACTATCTTTAAACAATAATTTTGTCTGTGACTTTTTGGATAGCTGCAAATGATCTACTCTACCTTAAAGAAGTTTTTAACTCATTGTTACATTGTAATACACTATAGGTACGTGTGTTTTCTGTTGACATGGTTGAATCCATAAAACTATACAGTGCTGGGTTGGTTTTGGGCAGTACAGGGACCAAAGGGTTAATTTTAGTCCTCATTACGGACCGCGGAAGAAGATAATTGAAGACAACAGATGCTGTATTTCCATCAGTTCCTGCATTTTTATCTTGTAAACATGGTAAACTGTTCATTGATAACTGTCAAATCTTCACCAATTTGGAGATTTCAATTAGGCCAAAAAAAAAAGTCTCCGGTTTCTGGTATGCGCGCGCGTCGCCGTAGCCATGGGCGTCGGCAAAATGAAAACGTTTTTTGTTCAATGAAAGATGATGTCTCAAAACCGCCAAACTCACTGGTTTGACTGGAATCCTGCTGCTGCACAATTTTAACGTGTTTGTAGATTGGGTTATGGTAGAGAATAAGCTTTATGTTGCCTCTCTGGACTCCCATATATTTGCACTAAGTTTAGTCGGGCACCATTTGCAGTCATCAGCCAACATTTGAAGCAAAAAAATCAGGTAAAAAAAAGAAAAAAGCCGCGTCGCCGCACCACTTTTTGGGCAAGCTCCATACCAGAAACCGGAGACTTTTTTTTTGGCCTGAGCATTGAGTTTTGCCAAAACTCAATATGGAGTTTGCAATTACAGTCGGGAAGGGCAAAAACCCAAAATTGCATTTGATATCTACGCCAACATTCAGTTTTGGTTTTTCTGATCCTGTGTTCAGGTTACTAGCGTGTCTAGCTGTACTGACTACATCAGCCGGCGGGTCAAGATAAGATATCCAGCTATGCCATCACAGACGGCAGCTCAGAGTAGAAAGCGGAACTTCCCATGCACGGTATGCGCACATTTACATTTCTACACTTACCGTCCATGTATAAATAATGCCCCCCCCCCCACACTTTTTGTTTTTACGGAGGATGGTACGTGTCTGGTGAAAAATGCCTGTGTACCTTTCAATACAGATGGAATTGCCCCCCCCCCCCCCCCCCCCCACTGTAGCATCAAGCTCCCCCACTTGCCCCCCTAGGATGACAACCCTGGCTACGCCGCTGAGAGGAGGTAAATTTGGGTAAATACAAGAGTTTTTCGCACTCCAAATAGCATCCTCCTATCGTGTCCACCATAACTCAATAAGGCTTGTGGTACATGTACACTGAATATTACCTATAAGACGATTCAAAAGTGGATTTGTATTGTGACCAGGACAAAATACGGACTCAACAATTGTTGGTTAGTTTCTGTTAGCTTTAGCGACCGTGTTTTAACCCAATATCACGCAGCCTTCATGTTTTTTTTCCCGACAGGTACATTGCACAGCGCTTGACACTTCAACCATTTTAGCAGCTCTTTTACCCTGTGCACACCAACAGGTACGATTTAAACGAATGAGTAAAAATAATTTTAGAATTGTTATGTGCGATACCTAAAATGGCCATTGAACTCGGTTGTGTTTCATTTTCAAACATGTCAAAGCTAACATATCTGTGTGTGTATGAGCACAAGCTAAACAAGAAGGAACAGTTGAGTTAAATTTGAAGAACACAGCCACTCCCAAAAGCCGTTATCGAAGACGATGGTGGTCATATTTCCACATAGTCCGATAGATTGATGTGTGAGCATGCGTGAGGCACTTATCATTGTTCGATAACCCAATCTGCTACATGAACGCAGTCTACGGTGCCCAGTCAAATGCTGGTTTAAAATTCAGAGATGAAACTTTTCAGATTTTAATCTGAAATCAGATTTTTTTTTTTTACTTTTCCAACGAAATTTCAGATTTGTTTACGATCCCACAAAAATGATTATTTAACGATTTTTCCCGATTTTTGTTTTTCATTATAATTTCCAAAACAAAAGTCCATGAAAATTTGATGAAAACGGCAGGTAAAAATTTGCTCAAGTTTAAAACACCTAGCAGCCTAGACCAACGCTGATCAGATCCTTTGCCAGCTGGAGAAAAGGTTTAATACTGACCTATGACATGGAAAAATTCACTGGGTCCCATGTTGATGCACTGCGCTGCACTGCACTGCGAGACGCTGTGGCAGCTCAGATCCAAGGTCCAATTTCAGATTTTTTTTGCCAAGGCCATTTTCATCTCTGAAAATCATTCACCATTTTAACAGGATTGAAAAAATGGGATTGGTAGGACACTGCACTGTATCCCTTCTGTCCCATTGTAGCTTTACATTTTTTTATTAGATACAACTATTCTTTTGTAGTCGCATCTTTTCTCTTCTGTTTTCTGTTGAATGTTCAACACATAAGTGTTCATAATTCGGTTAAATGTGGATAATTAGATCGGTGGACCGCTACATTAGCAGCCCAATGTTTGGGGTTCAGGTCGTACTTCAATCTAATATTCTTTTGGTGTTAACTTTTGTACTTTTTTAAAAAGTAGTATTTACCCTTCACAGGCACAATTTTATAAGCAATGCTTTCTCAGAGCTGGCCAAAAGCATGAGAGAAAAAATACACAAGTAAATTTGAATGGGATTTGAACCTGCAAACTCCTATTTTTATAGTGCAATGTGTTAACCATTCTACTTCTGAACTGGCTGGGTTTGGCTTGGCTGGCCTAATATCTGTAGCAGTGGGTATGACAATCAGTGATCTTTGATAGATTTGTTTCTAATTATGATTTCAAATAACAAATGTTTATTTTTTGTTTCAGTTGCCAGAGGTTCTCAAGCTCCACATGCCACAGGCAGTGTCATCGTGACCAGTGGGTTGACCCCAGCGATTTCATTTAGGCCGAGGGAATGAGAGTCATAGAATACCGTCCTGCTGATTTTGAAAAACAATGAGGTTTTTTTTCTTTATTCATTTTTCATTATTCTGAAGCATTTACCAGAATCAGGTAAAATTATACATGATGTCACTACGTGCACATTAAGAAAGTGTTTGGGAAAACGGCAACAGGCAGTCGTTGGTATCATGCAGCGCTAGTGCTGGTAACCGCGCGCTATACATTGTATGCACGTATTTTATATGTACCGCGTGTTCACGGTACTCTGTACGCGTGGGCAGATTGGGTTTTGCGCCAATGTGGTACACAGAATACGACTATTTTGCGTCACAAAATTGTGTAGAGCGGATTCTGATAAAATTAGAAGTAAACTGTTGTGGCAGATTAATATTCTGGGTAAATAATGATTTTTTGTAAATAATGAAAAATTTCGGCGGCACCTTTCGGCACATGCGGGTGGTGGACGGTATTCTATGACTTTCATTCCCTCAGCCTTAGTGAAACAGCATTGGCCTGACCTTAGTGTGACCTTCCAGCTGACCTCTGACCTGATGACGCAGCCGTGTTGATCAACGTGGAAAATGCGGTGAAATCCACCAGTGAGGCCTCGGTACTGGTGTGGAAAAAAATCCCTGGTCTGCAGACAGGACACGAATCAGTGGCTTAGGCAAGTTCTAGACGCCATGCGACTGCCGTCCGGAACTCAAATAATTGGACTTTTTAAAAATTCGGCATGACGATAGCATGGCGTTTAGAACCATTTGGCTTAGCCTTGGTCAATGCTCTCGTCGTTATTCGTCCCGTAGGCGGTCAATCGTCGGCATATATCCTCACGCGCTATGCACATGCATGTAAAAATACAGCGCGAACAGCGACCTCATGCGGCCACTATCTTTTTATGCAAATCAGTTGAGGACGATCTCGAGCCTTGGTTCAATCGTCGGCAAAAGCTTATGTTTTTCTTTATTTTGCTCTGGATTTCTAGTGCACGACCTCGTATGCGAATACAGATAAGTGTAGGCGGGGCTAATATGTGGAGTGTCCAATCACACCTTGGTAAATCCGGACGTCATCAAATTATTTGCTATTCGCCTTTTGCGGACGTGACAGGAACCACAGTTTTTGTGCATTGGTGCCGTGTGCAGAGACACACAACGTGTACGTGTATGGATTATGTACAGTGCCACGTTTCACTATGCAAGTTTCCACGCAACGATCGACCAATAAGAAAACGACATTTAAGGTCAGCTAAGGCTATTAACATAATGAGCACCACCCCCAAAACCTCACATGGACGATTGAACCAAGGCTCTAGATCGTCCTCAACTGATTTGCATAAAAAAATAGTGGCCGCGTGAGGTCGCTGTTCGCGCTGTATTTTTACATGCATGTGCATAGCGCGTGAGGATATATGCCGACGATTGACCGTGTACGGGACGAATAACGACGAGAGCATTGACCAAGGCTACATTTGGCTTGGCAAATTGAGTTCGGCATGGCACCATCCTTTGGCTCGACAGGGCTGCTGTGCTATCGTTCTGAACGGCAGGTGCACGGCACTGTCCTAAAAGCAACGTGCCAAACTCAATTCAATTGGAAGTTGGTGCAAACATTTTAGGAATGGGCATACTCACAATACCCTCTCTTGTGTCCGCATTACAGGAAATGAAATTGCCGCAAATATTTTGAAATGTGCTGAAAGTTCATTAAAGGGAATATACATCATTTGCTTTTGCTGTAATTTTCAGAAATGGATGGAATTGGGGGGTTGGAAATATATAGCAAATATAGTTACACTGACTTTTTTGAGGTTTTGGGTTAGAAAATGCTATTAAACCAAGAAAAACAATCATTTTCCTGTAGTCTGGTTCCCTGACTCCATATAAGAAGAAACGGAGCAGTTTACATACAATGGGGAATTGTAAGGTCAGGGAACCAGTCTACTAGCTGGCTTGTACCCGTTCATAGGTGTGTAATCGATTGCAAACAAGTGCGATGGTCAATTGGGACCAGTATTTGAAAAAAAGCCAGTGTTTTCCAACGCTGGTCGGCCGACCAGCGTTGGAAATTGATACAAAAATACCACTTTTCTTGAAAATGACAGTATACCAGGTGCCATGATTTTACAGGATGCTTTACACTGTCATTCACTAACAGTCCAGCAAGGTATTTCAAAATGATTTGGTAGTTTTATTTTTTGATGTTTGCAAATGTTGTATTTTCCCTTTAAACTGCTTTAACCTTGCCACTTACTCCAGATGCATGACGGTACAACTATTATGTTCGGTGTTTAGAGCAACTGCCGTGCTGTAGATTAGCTATTGCTCCACTCATTTTTGATTTAAGTTCAGCACAGCAGTAGCACGGCGTCTAGAATGGGCCTTATGAGCTCTGTGAGCTACCTAAAGAGGGCGCCCTTTTACCTAGTAACGACGTCCCATGGGCGGTACATTTCGCTGGTTGACGCGCACCGTTCCTTGTGTGTGACGCGCGTGCACCAGGGGATTTGTTCTATGTACCTACACGCAGTGGCTGCGCACCCCCAACTGTACTTCCTTTGCCGTTGAGGGGGTACTCAATAGACTTTGCTGCTGAGGCAGCTAATTTGTTACACAATGTATTTATACCCTAATGAATCCGCAATTCATGCAGTGGAGGGACCATCTGTAGCAGTATTGGGAGTAAAAGGCATGTGTGGCTCAAGGTAGTACTAATGGGCTAATCACATTGTGTCCTTGAAACTTAAGGTCCTTTGTTACAAAGTCACTTCAGAAAGCTCGAATAACAGAATGCAACATATGCAATCAACTTGTATATCAGGAGTAATTTATTCAATATGTACAAAAATACATAAAAAAGACCTTTTTATCCACTTGTGCTTTTTTTATACTATGTACTTTGAAAGAGTTTGCCAATAAGTACTGTACATGTCCATTTTACGCAAACATACATGTATAGGACGTCCTGTTTGAGTTTCATAGTCTTGCTAATTTGAAAAAAATTCAGGAATACAAATATTATAAGCTGTGTGCCTTAAACAGGGTGTCTAAACAAAATCTAGCAGTCAAACTACATTTTTCTTCTAAGGAAAGTAAAAAAAAATGTAAAAAAATTTACCAAGAGATGATAGAGTGTTTTCTTTACCCTTGACAGGATTTTTGTTCTGTGTGTAATGGACCTTTTGTTTAAAAGTTACGGCAAAGCTTGTAGAAGACTCTCAAAATCTGTTTGGGCCACTTTCTTGGAATTCTAGTCCTTTCATTTAATTAGCTGTATCTCTGGACTGGGGTGTCCAAATGAGATGGGATAAAGACCATTGTGTAGAGTATTTACTACACCTTCGGACTCTATAGATAACCTTTGGAAAAAGAGAGTGCTAATATATTTTTAATATTTATGGATTGACTGCTTCACTTTTTTTGAGACACTCTGCACATCCATGTACCGGTATTTATTGAAAAGAAGATTGCAAAATCACACTGTGAAACCACATGGAGAATTTTATCACCACACTGTTTCTAGGTCAATAACCCCCTCATGCACAAGATATAGGCAGGTCACATGGCCTTTGTGTGGGCTAGGATTGTTTACGACCTGTCTGAGCTCTGGGCGGCACGAGGGGTTGACACAGAGAGATCGGGGGCACAAAGGGGTTGGCCACTAAGATATCCAATTACTGCACAAAGGCATTAGGCGCCTCTTGGGGCTGCTGTCTTTCAACACTCCTTACTCTGCAGTGGTTAGGGTCTGGCCAATGGGAGTCTACAAGGCTTGTGGTGTATAACAGGGGTGAGGATTACATGGAATATTGGCCTTACTGGCCTATTGAAAAAAAGGTTATGACCATATATGGAAAATGTGGAGAATTTTATCACCACGTGGCCACACCGAGGGTTAAATACAGTGGTTTGGGAGATGGGAAGTAACTAAGGCAAAACTGTAGTCGGGTGAATTGTAATGCCAAAGCCACATTACAAATTGTAGAAAAGATTTGCGTGGTTCGGCCAGGGATTGCCATTGGTGGAATTTCTTCGTGGAATCAGACACAATAATTAACCCGCTGAAGAGATTCAAGGTTAGTGATAGTTGTGCAGTTTGTTTGATTCTTTGGAAGGTATTAGCTTGACCACAAAGTAAAGAAGTTTGAAATAAATATTTGGATATAAAAAAAAGAAGTCATTTTCCATTCTGCTATGATTGTTGACCCTTCTTCTGTCGTCTCCAGAATTTCTTGACATCATCATGACCGCTCGTTGTCACCACCAATGTTCTGGTGACGGCATTGTCCAACATCAAGACACCCAGATCCTGCACATGAAAACAAATTATATTTACAAAGTAAGATTTGGTTTTGGAATACAATTATGGCATACATGTACATATACATTTAGCAGACATGCAACTGGGAAGTCATCAGAAAAGAGGAAATGTCAAACTTTACACAGTGTTCTTTCAATTTTTTATAATTGTTTAAGTGCGAAGTGAAAAAAGAGGAAATCAGCTGATCCGAGGAAAAGTTGCATGCCTGGTATATGTCATTGTTATACCTCTGTCTTGAATACTGTATTTTCATTGGCCTAGAACGATCACGTGTTAAGTTTATAAAAAGTCATGGCACACTCCCTGTGACAGGGAGTGTGCTATGACTTTGTACGTATGGTGTGAAACGCTTGTTTCGTTGGTGTACCCACGCTATTTTCACCATGTTTTCACACATGAGTGGGAGCAGCAAACTAGCAGACGATCAGCTGTTTTGAGCACGGTAAGTGACATTCATGCGAGTTGACGTTCGATTGTCATGATTGTGGTGTTTACTGCTGTTTGTTTTCGTGCTTTTTAAAGTCCAAAGAATCCAAGACAGAGGTATTCGCCTCAGGTGCTATGCGCCCCTCGGGTGTTCACATCACAGCAGTCAACAATTGGTAATTGACTGCTTTCAATAGTCTTTATACATGTAATAATTTGACTTGCATATTTTGGACCCTATTAAAGGGAATACATGTAAACAACATTTGTTTTTGCTGTAATTTTCAGAAATGGATGGATTTGGGGGGTTAGTATTATAATTATAGCAAATATTGTACACTGACTTGTTTGAAGTCTTGTGTCTGTAGATATTGGGAAAACCAAGACAAACAATCATATTCTTGTAGTCTGGTTCCCTGACCCCACTTAAATTGAAATGGAGCAATTTATAGACGTCTGGGAATTGTAAGGGCAAGGAACCAGTCTAAAAGTTCATAGATGTGTAATCAATTGCAAACAAAATTCAGAGTAACTAAATATGGTAAATTGGGGACAGTATTTGAATAAAAGCCAGTTTTTGTCTAACGCTGGTCGGCCAACCATCGTTGGAAATTGATACACAAATATCACTTTCTTGAAAATGTCAGAACACCAGGTGCCATGATTTTAGAGGATGCTTTAGACTGTCATTTACTAACAGTCCAGTAAGCTATTTCATAATAATTTGGTAGTTTTGTTTGTTGATGTCTGCAAATGTTGTATATTCCCTTATAAACTGAGAAGCTCATAGATAAATCTTTTCCCAAATCCAAATTGTAATGAACTTTTAATTTACAAGACTTTCAAAGTAAGGCCGGTTCATACTCAGCTCAAGCGCGAACGCAAGTTTGTGACATCACGGCAAATTTTCTTGCTGCAAATTTGCAAAAGTTTAACACATTTCAACTCTGCCGAATTTCACAGCTAATGCTTTGTGATGTCACATTCGCATCGCATTTGCGCTCACATGAAGTATGACTGGTCTTTATTGTGCTGGAATTGTTGGTCAGTTGCTCTTAAGTGTCCACCATTTTACCACTGATAGTGTATTAATTTCAGACTTCTGTCAGCACTCTTCATTTGTCTTTACAAAATTCTTGACAAGCACGTTTTCCCTCATCATTATGACCTGATGACAAAGTGCAAAAATAGGGAACAGCCTGAGCACAAATATACCATCAGTACCTTAGCATAATCTCGCAGAAGTTCAAAGTCTTGCGATGAGAGAAACTGATTGTAGACAACACCTGCAATAAAACGCATGCACCTGATTAGCAAAATAAAAAGGCAACCAGTACAACTTGACAGTGCGTTAAAGTGTACTTTTTGTTCAAAATGTCCATTTGAGTTCTGTCGAAGAAAACAATATTATGACAAAAAATTAACAACCATCTCTACCTCCCCCAGTTATTTAAATATGTGCAGTTATTTAAATATGTGCACATTCACTATACACTAATCAGAGCACGCTATCACCGTACATTCACGATTGATACACGATAACGTGCCGTGGCGATAACGTCCTCTCGCGGCGGCGGGTTATCGCGACGGCACGCCCACCATCGCTGTACATACACATGGTGTCTTAGTCTGACAGGTTACTATAGCCGTGGGGCAACACGTCGTTGTAGATACACGATAACCTGCTGTCGCGATCATCCGCCGCCGCAAGAGGATCACGACGAACCGCTGTCACCCACGAACCGCCAGCAACAACGTCTTGGGAATCTTGTAAAATCTCCCACGAAAAACAGGGGAAACTAGTGCACACGCACTGATTGTGCAGGCAATTATACGGTCCATTTTCAGTCCCACTGCATACCACAACAGAGCTGCAATAAAGTTACACACAAGTCTTGCTGCATCTTGTATGCTACTGGAAGAAATTTAAGAGTTTGGTTCGAAACTAACATGAAAGGTTTTGAATGCCTGCTGCATACATTAGGCAAAACAGGCGCGCGCATTGCACAACCGCTACAAGATTCCCAAGACGTTTTTGCTGGCGGTTTGTGGGTGATACCGGTTCATCATGATAGCACCCTCTCGCAACTGCGGGTTATCGCGGCTGTGGCGGGTTATCATGTACCTACAGCAACAAGGTCTTGCCCTAAGACTGTCAGGTTACAGGAAAAGCAACCGATACAATTACTGAAGTAACAAGAGCTTTGCAGGTCCTTGAGCACATCATCCACCATACAATGCCCACTACAATCCTTGCATTGAGTTCAGCCCGTACATAATTGAATGCAGAGTTTTATCGCAATAATGAAAAAACGACAGCTAGGCAAATATGCCGTTACCTGGTTGGAAAGACAGTCTGTCTCTCTCCAATTCCCACAGTCTGATCTGATCACTGATGGTCGGTGGAATAATCGGAACCTGGTGAAAAAAACAAAGGTATTTGATTTGTCGACTCATTACAAATTTGAAACACTTTCCCCCCCAAATGCAGGCTATTTACAGCATTTTATCAATGGCGCTGATATAGGGGGGTGCAGCATTACCTCAGCATCTTTCCATTAGCACGTGTGTTTTCATCGGTTGCTGTGTGTAAACCATTCAGCACTCCAGAACCACTCAGATTTAAGAAAATGGGTCTGTGCAAAAGATCAGAAGATTTCTGGGATGTCCGCACCAATTAACCTATAGACAAATCCGGCGGCAGCCTTTTTTTTGCACTGACGCAAGGCTCGTGCAAGTCGTGCTCAGGTAGGGCGTACTTGCTTCGGGCTCCTTCGACCAATAAGAATACCAAAATGCGCGTGCCTCATCTTTAAGAACCCGTACAGCATGCGCCTGAGCCTGACACCACCGCAGTAAAAGCCTCCATGAGGTGAACACTCGTCTTAAGACCAACCGGACCAACCATATAGGCCACTCGGGTTGGGACACACCATTTTGGAGAGTTTGCCCTGGGGGATTAAGACTCTTAACCGCACTTATCCTATAATTGGTTCCAATAAAAGAGCGAAGGTCACTCTGTCTGAGAGATTTCAAGCATAATATTTCGTTGCTAAATTCAATCTAAAAGTATTATCATGATGATGTACCTGAAATGTTGACTTGTTTTATATGTTGAACTGTGAAAATTGGTGAATAAATGGCCGAGAATGATCTTTTACTGCTATGCTAGCATAAACCACAATCACCAGAAAGCATAGTTCCAGCATCCTAGCTCCATGGTTCCAGAAAGCAGTGTGGCTAACAGGTGGTAGTTCATTTAACCACAAGTGATTATCTCGCTGGGACTGTGGAGCAGGGAGGGGAGTTTTGTTTACTTAAGGGCTCCCCAGGGGCTCCCAATAGAGGTTCAAAATGGTGTGTGAAACTAGCCACTTTCTTAAAGAGGGCTGTTTTCGTCATATGTCTCATTCTGGTCCTGGATTGCACGATAGTTTATCAAACAATCCAAAAGATTCCAACAGCATTGTGTTGAACCCTACGAAATCCAACTAAATCAAACACTAAACATGCTAAAGGTTGTTATTTCTGCTCTGTACAAGATGCAACAGAATCTGTATACTTAAAGGAATATTGTTGGATAAATTTAACCTCGTAAGGGTTACACCTTTGTTGGGAATAATCCTGAATCCTCACAATCCACCAATATGTAGGAACCCAATGGGCACAATTGCAGAATACCCCGCCACTCGATCTATCCACCTCGTAGCCGGCTACGAGGTCACGGTTGGTTGACCTCAATAAACATTCTCAGCGCTACTTGTGGGTGCAGACCAGTAAATCGGTCCGAAATTGCCTGCGCCGGCCAAATCACGATTTGCATGCCCTCAAAATCTTCGGTATTTGAGCATGCTGTGGGCCATGAACTTGAGGGATTGTAAAAAATATGGGTGGAAGCCGTGCACAGGACTGGGAGCTTGCAGTTCTGTGTAATTTGGATGTAATTTGGACCCTAAAAGCGCTCTATTTTGCAATGGAGTGTAGGCATCGTTTTTCAAAATGGCGATGGGCTTCAGGACTATTTTCAGGGGTGATCATCTTCAGATGAGTAGTATGAGATGGGAGGGTACCAGACTTTACCCCGCCCATTATCCCCCTTCTCCAATAATCTCTGACCCCTGGCCCCACCCTCTGCCCCCACCCACCCCCTCCCAATGATCTCCCTCCCAATATCTCAGTCTCAGCCCCACGCCAAAACCGGGGACTAATATCTCTCGTCTTGAAGATCTGTCTCTCCAGGTACCAGATCAAAATCCTCACTCTCCCCCGCCCACTTATAAACAGCGCCCTCTAAAACTTTTTCTTTTGTAAATATTAACCAACACCCTCCATAATATTAAAAAGAGTCAGACGTTCAAAATATAATTAGACAAAACAGAAATCATATCTACATTAAATTTATTAAACAAAAATTACGCTATTCCGAAACACTTGGAGCAGGGTTATTTACATTAAAACCTCTATACACACTGATAATTAAAAGCAGACAATATGATCAAATGTCTTTCAAAGTCTCTCAACCAGCAGTACAGTCAATAGATACGCCAGTAGATCATGGCAGTTGCACAGCATGTAAACATAAATTTTGACGATGCACGATGCTATAGTCCTATGTTGGCGTGTCTGTATAAACGCTTATTGACGAGGCGGTGGCTATTCTTTGGGAACCACTTGATTGTTTTAGCTTGACGACAATGGCATCACTACATCAATATTGTGTAGGGTTGACAACAGACGATTACTTGTCAACTTGTGATGTCAGTATTTGGTGATTGCTGATGGCCAGATGACTTTTGTTGACAAGTTAAAGTTCTCTTTGTGACTTGGCGTCTCTATATACCAGGCTGTCAGTAGATATTGGTCCTGTGTCGGCGTGTCCGTATATCAGACTGTATACCATGGATAAACGCTCAGTCATGGAGATGGTTGATATACTGGCTCCCGCGGGGCGCAAGTTATCCTGACGTCACTGCTCTGTGTAAGGTTGACTGATGTTTTTGAATAAGCACGCTCCTGGTCCTGTGTTGGCGTGTCCGTATACCAGACTGTAAAACATGGATAAACGCTCAGTCACAGAGACGGTTGCTATACTAGCTCCCGCAGGGCGCGAGTTGATTGTTTTTCCTGACGTCACTGCTTAGTGTGGGGTTGACTGATGTATTTGATGAATGCTGGTGGCCAGACTCACTTTTGTTGACATGGTTCCATGAGAAAGTCAGATGCCTTTGTTCATCAGGTACAGATCAACGAAGCGTAATAAATTGAAAATTTGTGCTCTTTTGTTACACTCGTGGGAATCTTTAGATACATATTGTCTGCTGGAATCAGTCAATATGGACTGTATATAGTCTCTTTACACTTGTGCATAAAGCGGTAAATTAAAAAATGGTTTGGTATGGCATAAGGCAATGAACAGATATGGATATATAAGCATCGATGCGGCAAATTAAAAAAGTTTGAATTGGGTATACCGCACAGATTGGACTTTTATGCCAAAAATAAGCGGTTTCTTTTTTTAGCGACCGTCACCCAACTGATCAAATCATACAAAATTAAATTTACAAAATATAAGAATTCAACGAGTTTATGCCAACACAAATAATTATACCGTAGTTTGCTGCCAAATATAAGCGACATGTGGGTCTAGTAACATTATCCTAATTTCATTTCTAAGATTGTAGATTGTTTTGAATGGAACTCCTAATTGGTCAAACAAAGGGTAATTTTTTAATAAATTTGCTACAAGACGTATTTTGTTGGCATAAGCTCTGTGAATGCCTACATTTTGTTTAAGCCACTCTTCCCAAGATGTTATTGGTTTTTCTCGACTATGAAGGCAATGAACAGCATCAAGCAACTTTCCATACTTGATGTAAATACCGATTATAGAAGCCTGACGCTGACCAATACCCTCATAGCCAGAAACTAGATGCGGAACAGATTCCCCTAAGGTTTTTATAGTGTCTAAGTTTCTATACAAAGGGAAACTGTTCGGTTGAGAAGAGTGCTGTACCTTACTCAGCAGATGCCTGTGTAGGTCATCGCCGGTTAGCTTAGATTTTGCTTTACATGTAGTTTGACCCAAAAGAGACTTTATATTTCCTCTCGGTTTTATCGGTATGATTTGATCAGTTGGGCCATTTAGTTTCAAATCACCAAGAAATGTCAGCATTTCTTGGTGATATTTTACATGTGACTCTATAATTTGTAAGTCCTCTCGACTCCAGTTATAACAATCTTCCATTGGTACATCATTATTTTCCATGGTCGCTAAAAAAAGAAAACGCTTACCTTGTAGAATTGGTGTAAGAAGCTAAAACCCAAAAACACGTCTGTTCTGACAGCGGTCGGTTCATATAGTGAAGCGAAAAAATGGGCGGCGTCTGATATGAACTAGTTTTTGGAAACAACAACAAAAGCGTGACAGATTGAAATTTTGCAGTCCTGCATGGTAGGCAGTTTATTGACTTTGCTCTTGGAAACAACAATAGCGTGACTGATTGAAAGTCACTGCATGGTAGGTGGTTTATTGACTTTGCTTTTGGAACCAACAATAGCGGGACTGATTGAAACCTGACCCAAACAAGTTTTGAAAACAACATAGCGTGACAGACTAAAACCTGGCCCAAACAAGTTTTGAAAACAACAAAGCGTGACAAATTGAATTTTTTTTGTGCGGGCTGCACTTTGCTCTGTGTCATGTATGGAGCGCTGATGGTATGGAAAGTATAAAATGAGCAGAAAGGTATGGAGCGCCAATCATACATTAAAAAAAAAACCTTTATTTAAAACAATTAATCATTTATAATAAATGAATCTTTTTCAGAGTGAAAACGTCGAGCTATCTGATAAAACAGATCAGTGCGATCACCATATAATCATCGAGAATGGTTTTTTAGTTTGTGAAACGTGCGGTGAAATAGTCTCGCGTTACTTTGATTTTTCGGCAGAAAATGCGCAAGAAGATCGTATCAATTGGTCAATTTTAAAAAGAAACAAAAGAAAAACTGTGGAGAAACTTATTTTGTCGGTGTGTCCAGAGCAAGACTTAGAAGATGTCCAAGAAACAATCAATAAATATAACGAGCTCGTTAATTACAAAACATTGAGGGGAAACGGTTGCGTCAAACGCTCGTTAATAGCGGCGTGTTTTTATTATGTAGCTGGATTAGACAAAGAACGAGTTAGAGATTTATTTAAAGTGACTCAAAATCAATTTAATAAGGCACTAAAAAGATACGATGACCACTACAATAAAGGCGGGGCCGAGGGCGTAGCCCTAAGAGGTGAAATAGAGGTATAACTCGGTGGTTCACTTTCATAATGTTTATTTACCGTGAATTTGAACTTGTAAGTTTTTCGATAAGAGATTTTTTTTCTTTTGCCAGCCGTTCGTCTACCCGTTTTTTAACTTCTTT